CATTCGACCAATCACAAACATGGAGAAGCATACTGACAGCGCAGCGCGTCATACTTCCTGAATCAAAAGTCAACTTTTTATTAGACAAATATGAAGACGTTAAACTTTAAACATCCATGACTCAAACACCTTATCCAGGATAAAAGCCACATAGTTGCACCTGCAAGGTGAATACAGCTGGTACAAGAAAAAGTGTTTGAATGCGTACATTAACAGGTTTATGATATCACTGCCCCGTCTAAGACACGATCTGACTTTAATTACATTTGACTCGGGTGTTTCGTAATGTGTTGCTTAAAATAATACTTCTGCCTACAGTATGTGACACTGTGAGTGTTGCACGGCCAGATGCGGCTCAGCTGACTCAGATAAGGAAATATATTATACATTATGATGTGATATGAATGATAATGCGACACATCAACGTCTGCACTCACATTGCCGCGGACTGTAGGCTACGTAATGTTACTCTGATCCGGTTACTTATGTTGTGGCAGATATTTAATTAAGCTTTCTTAACGCTAATGTTATAATAGTCATATCAATACGTTTCTCTTTTTGTAGTGTATTGGTCTTTTGTAGAGGTTTTTCATTGCCAGCTAAAATCTTGCCTAGGGCAGCAAATTGGTCAAAACCGGCCCTGGTGTCATCCCCACAGCACCCCCCATTTGAAACATGTTCCCACGGCTATGGTTTAAACTGTATTTCCTTTCTCCTGTCATGTGACTTGATCGCTTTAAACTCCGCACCCCGCTCCGCACACGGAGCTCTGATTGGTCCAGCAGGCAGTGCTTTCACTGATTTGATCTCTTAGCCTGCAACCTAACCTGGTCGGGACCAGGTTAGCCGCTAAGCATAAGTTACCATGGAGATCTAGCCTGCTAAAAAGAGAACCAGCTTCGTAGGACCAGAAAGCCGGAGTTTTCCCTGAATTTAGCCGGCTAAGCGAAAATCCTGCTTCGTAGTATACCCCCCAGGTTTCGCAAAATGTTGACACAGTGATGATGGGGACTGCAATTAAGAGCAAAATAGACAACATTTATCATTAATTTAATGAGTCATAAGCAACTGCAGCATAAGTATTCCAACAGCATCTTTATTTTCTATTACAAAGTTGTTGGTTCATATATACATATGTAATGTGTCACAGCTTTCTACTGACTCCAGTTCATTCCTCATAATGAATGGCTTATAATATTTTACTAACATCTGTGTGAATGCCAGAGAACCAAAGCGTTTTTTAAAGAAGTATTCTGAATGCATCACTAAAAAAGGAGTCTTTTGCTTTATGAACAGGAAGACAAAGTTTCAGAGGAGAATATTGAGGGTCACAAACATGATCTCTGCCAAGGATTCGCTGCAGGAATCTGAAAAACATACCTATGTATTTGTAGGAAGAGAGCCTAAATGTACTGTATCTTACTGGGACAGGTTTAAGGGGCTATGGCTGGATTTTCTGTATAGAAGTGACGCCTTAAAAAACAGTTAAACAAAATAACTACTGCATAACAATTCAACACAAATACATAAGAGAGGGCAGGAGCAAGGGCAACATCTGTTTTAAAAAGGTGTTTATAGATTCTTCCCAAGTACACGTCTTTCTCCTGTGTGGGGAACTCTGAACATACTACTTTCTGATGCAGGGCTTCCACCTGCCACCAAGAGTCCTCAGAGTGACATTTAGAAACCGTATTTGGCCTGTGTCTGTCGGCGCGTCAGCTTGTTATCTGCCCAGTTGTTCTTCAGCTCCAACTCACGTTCCTTTGCCTGTGGAACACGAAAATGAAGGGAAATTCCTGGTAAGCTTTTGTAAGACTAAATGTCAAACACACAGAGTCAGAAATACTTTTTGTTTATTTTGTCATTGAACATTTCAAGCGGAGTCTTAATGTTTTTACCTGAATTCTGAACAAACACTTTTTAGTCAATAGTACCAGACAGACCGTAGAAATAGATTTTATTTTAATCAACTATTTTTTGGTAGTTTGAACCAGTCTTTCTTAGAAAAATAAAAACACTGCTCTCTACATTAAATTAATTGTGTTATGATTTCTAAATGCTTGCAGACAGTATGGGGTGAATGTAGTATGCAGGTCGCCTTATGGGGTTTGTACTTTTGGAGACATTGGCATAAATCCCCCACACAAACAAATAAAAGCCTTGTTTAACCAGCTTAAGAATTTAAAAGAATTCCCACCCTGTGCATCAATTATAAATACCATCTGAGTGGTGTTAAAACAACACCAAATGTGATAGTATAGACAATCACTCTGTACATCAAACAAGAAGCTACAGGACTCAAGGCTAAGAGAAATGTGGCTACTATTTGTGTGCTTGTTTGAATGCCTGGTGTAGGATCGTCCTCTTGCAGCCTACTGTATAACCCTCAGATATACAGTAGTCAACTAACACTTTGAATCTAAATGTGCCCAGACATGTCACAGACTCACACCCTGCTGTATAACCTTTAAAACCCACTGAAAGATAATGTACAAATACTACTCGAACCTCCTCCCTTGGCTACAATATATTAAACTGGACAGACTACACAGTTGCCACCACTGACCGTCAGCACAATTAGATCACAGAATTTAAAAATTGCACAAATATGGAAGGTTTAAATTAAGCTTTAGCAGCACTCACCTGATGAATGAGATATGTTATCTGATGCTTGCGTCGCTGCTGTCCTGTAGGCCCCTCTCCTTTTTTCTGTAAAATAAAAAAAGGTCTTGTATTACGTGTTATTCTTTGCAAAATTACCAAAGACTCTTTCCCAAAGTCGGATTCTTTAAGCATTTCCAGGTGCATTTTCAAGCACCTCAAACTATTGGTAAATGAAATGACATATCTATATACAATTCAAACCATTGACTGACTGATGTACTTCTTTATTATATGTAGGTCACCTTGCTGAAGGACTGGCGGGTCTGCTTCTCTTCCGTTATGTTCTTGGTCATCCACTGCTTGTTGCTGCTCAGCTGGTCGTCCCCTTTGATCTCCAGAAACTTCACCTCCTCTTTGCCCCGGTTCCGTTTTCCTTGCAGCCGCATGAACTAAAGTACAGGAAGAAGAAATGATCATATCAGTTAGACCACGGTTTATCCTTGGCCTGATGAAGCTGCAACATCATCAAGAATTAACCTACTTTTAAAGATTGGAGGTATTTAGTAAAACAATACAGAGAGAAAGAACAAAGCAAACTTCTTACCGCTTCCTCATCAAACATGGCGGAGCTGCCGGGCTCATCAGCCTCTGCTGATCCCGCCTCTGGATCTTGGACGTAAGGCTGATTATAGAATCCCTATCGAAGGAGAACATGATTTGGTGATCACTTATATTCATCTATCTCTTTAACGTCTATAGTTCATTATAAGAATGCTCTGATTGACCTGGGGTAATAAAGACAAGATGGTGTCTCTGGAGTGTCAAAGTATATATGTTGGTGGAATTCTGCATAGATGTTAAAAGGGAGATTGTGTTGATGTTCAACCGGCTTTGTGTCGTTGCAATGTTAGTTGTTTCTGCAAATTAACAATGTTCGGCAAACTGGCAAATTAACCAACCAGGAGCTCCAGACACCAACGACACATAAGGAAACCAAACATTGTTTATTTGCACAGACCAACCACATTGCGACAATACAAAGCCTGTTTTAAATCAGCAACCTTTTTTTCAAAGGTGCTGTTCTTGCAGTTGTGTGAGTGTCAGATTAGCATCTATAATGTGAACAGTGTCTGAAGCACGTGACTGGACAATGTGAGAGTGCATGCATGCATCAACCATTCATTTGGTTTCAATCAGGAAAACTGAATACAATATCAAGCATTTACTAAAGGGTTTATTCTGATCTGGATTGGTTAGTGTGAGCTTATGTATACATTCTCCAGGTTATGTTATTACTAAGGTATATTTAAACAGCCAGCAGAATCTGAAACCATTTGTCTGACATGTATAATGCTGTAAAAAGCACCTCGGGAGTCCTGATTACCTGAGGGGGAGCATCTGTGCCTTCCATTTCCTGTTGATATTGAGGATATTGAGCACCCCATGGACCGGCTCCCTCACCACCCGCCCCGAAGTCGAGAGGGGCGTCTGACTGCCCCGGCTCGTCTGCAGGTGCAGGTGCAGGTGCTGGTGCAGGTGCAGGTGCAGGTGCAGGTGCAGGTGCAGGTGCCAGGGGCTCTGCGGGGGGCCCAGGCTCAGGGTCCAGGCTCGGGATGACTGCGGGGAGAGGCTGGGAGCTCTCGGCCAGAGAAAAGTAGTTCTGTGGGGATATGTCCTCCTCGTTATCTTGGTCGTCGGTGGCTATTTGTCTCGCCATCTGCAGAGCCGCTGACTTTGCTGCAGCCTTGATAGCAGAGGGCGATGCGCTGGAACCGAGCAGACCCTGAGCGGGCGTTCCAGGTTTGGGTCCTTTGGGTGGTTGCCGCTTGGTGAGTGTGTAAGGAATCAGGGATCTGTCCATCGCCTTCCTGGTCATGTGTTTGGGTTGTGGCAGAAGGGAGGAAAGGCCTGAACCCTGGAAGACGCAGGAGATATGGAGGGTATCAGGGCGGTGTAGGTACAGATATTGGCACCCACATTTCATTTGTTTGATAACATTGGAAAGTGATACAATTAAATATTCTGTCATTGGTTTACTCCATTTAGATTTATGTTCAGCCTTACTGGATACAAAGGTTCTAGTTGCTACTTTAACTCCAGTCTATTGTGTGTATGGAGGGCAGAAACAAGCTTTTTAGGACATCGATACAATCCAATAATGTGATAATGAGAAGGTCATCTATGACAGCTGAATTATTTGTGTAATATCTCAAATATAAAGCAATGTGTTGAATTAATATCTGGGGTGTCCAAGCTGAGCAAGCAGTTTCAATGTTTATTCATTTAGAAACTGCTTTGAGTGTTCTTTAAACTTTTTCTTCAATCCCAGTTACTGTGACGAGCTCTGAAACTGAGCAGCAGACGGTGAGAGGTATTCTTACCTGAGTTTGTACTTTCTTCTTTGCAGGTTCATCATCCTCATCAGAGTCTGACTGTTGACAATAAATACATAGTTCATGAATTACAACCTGATTAATATCACAGGAGCTACAAAATGTCAAGTGAAACGGGTCAGTACTCACATCCCGTCTCTGGATCTGTGGTGCAGTGATTTTGACAGGCTCTGTTCTCTTCCTCGGTTTAGGCATAAAGGCAGAAATCAAGCCTCCTTTAGATGGTGGTTGATCTGGGTCATCATGTGCCTTGCTGTCCCCCCCTGAGCGGTGCACTCTTGTCTCCTTTCTCGATCCTCCCCCTGCCGAAACGGGCTTCTTTGGAGTGGGCAGGAGAGAGAAGAGCCCCCCCGAGCTGCTCCCTTTACTCTGTGAAGCTGATGTTTCTTCTGAGTCGCTGTCATCACTGCTGCCATAGGCGACTAAAGACATGTTTGCTGCTGTGACAAAATTGTATGTATCTGCAGGAACTCGTGGACATGGATAACCACTCCCCCTGGAATTAAATCTCAATAAGCCTTACTTTCTGATACTTCACTTAAAAGGTATTTGATAAATATAGCCGCAAATAAAACGAGGTAATCCCCAGTGACGCTAAAGTATAAAGAAAAACACAGCAGGTTCAAAGAGGGTGAGCTCATTAAATGAAAGGATTGCCACAACTTAGCTTAACGTTAGCAAGGCCACCGTAGCCACCGATATTTTACGGACTGGTCCTTTCTCACGTATCCAAATTAATTTATTCTCAGATATATTACTGCATTATAATAAGACATCGGTTTATGCAGCAGCTATTGTTTACAACACGAAAATAGAGCTCTTTAAGTCCCTGGACTCCATCAAAACATCGCCTCCACCATTCATGATACAAGAAAAAGCTACTGCGCAGCTTTGTGCGCAGCTTTTTCTTCTTCGTCTGTTTGTTGCCAAAACAAACATTAACGCCCCCCAGCGGACAGAGTGTGTATAATAATACTAAACATCAACTTTATCTGAGAAAAATGTGATCTTATTCAGCATAATTTGGTGATTAGAGTTCATGTAAGAGTAAAAAAAAACTTGAAAATATACAAATGTATATGCAATAAGAAAAGCTTACTGGTATACATAAAATGACAGTTATAAAAAAAATGAAGAGTTTTCAATAGAAAATCACACATTATTTATTTTGAAAATAAGCACAACACGTATCCACTTTTTATAATTCACAGGACCTAACCTCATGTTTATTATTTAAACACCTACTCACCTCAATGTTTATTGTATGTAACTACTACCTAAATGTGTACACATACTTCATCATGGACAGTTCCAACACTTACAAAGACCAATAAATGCAAATAAAACAAACTTTACAAATTATAATAATAATAAAACAAACATCATTCAAAAAACGACGTTAAAAAAACCTTAAAATAATTATGTTGGTCACTGTTAATATTTATGATGATGATGGTGATGATGATGATCACTAGTCTCTCCCATGGATAAGAACCTTTCTCCGCCCCCTCGTCTCTGTTTTCCCCGGAAGCGGAAGCCCAGATTCAGGTAGAGCGACAGCAGCAGCAGCAGCAGCCTCGGTCCGGTCCGCTGACGCTTGTAGTCGCCTCTGACACGGCTGACGTTAGCTCGGGTTTGGCCCGGTGGGGTTGGTACTTTATCTACTTCACCTGCACAGTAAACATTATGTCGGCCGCGGATCCCCGGACCTCGAGTGACGGCGGGCCGGCCAGCAGAGGAGGATTCCCGGCTGGGGAGAGTAGCAACGAGCGCGACGGGCCAGGCGGCAGCAGCAGCGGCGGCGCGGAGGGCGAACCGGAGCGGGACCGGGCCACCTTCGAGTGCAACATCTGTCTGGACACCGCCCGGGACGCGGTCATCAGTATGTGCGGACACTTGTTCTGGTACGAGCCGGGGGGAGGAGTGGGTCATTTTGATGTGGAAGTGATAGTTGTTGTTGTGTGTTAAGCCTACCATAGTTTTCCATTTGTGCGGCCTCTTTTAAACCATCAGTTAGAAGCGTTTACCGGCCGAATCACGCCCAATAACACGCTTTAAGCACTGTGTCTCCGCATGCATGATATGACAGAGATTCCCAACAAGAGGTACTTGTACCAGAGGGGGTCGTGCTGCAGGGTTCATGGGAATATGCTGGTGTAGCTCAACTAATTAAAACCATCTGATTAGGATTAAAATAGGTATCCAGTCAGCTGTAACTTGATCATAATGTGGCTGGCCTTTTGTATTCCTTTTCTGCAATATAGTGATATAGTTGTGATAAATAAATACAAAACATGATGCCTCACTGAAGGCTATAACCCCATATATTCAAATTGCACATGTGATTTGCTGCTCAGATCTTGTGAAGTGGCTCAGCCTGATCATACATTGTTGAATGTAGGTCAGAGGTCACCATTGCTCATTAACAACCTCTGTGACACATTAACGTTCCAGTAAAACTGTCTGGGGATCATTTGCAGCTTTGAGATCAGGGCCACAATCTTTGTACGTGGATAACTGTGTTATAATAATAATAATTATAATATGTTGATGAGACATGAGTCTGGCTTAATTTATACCTGAAACTGTAGTCAGAACAGCAAGTGCTTTATACTAAACCTGCAAAAGGGCTGGTTTATTGACACTTTACTTCGAACCACATACAGGAAGTCATTAGATTAATATTGAAAGATGTTTTCCGATTTGTGATAGAAAAAGTCGTTCCTTTGTTTTGTTTTTTTTTAAATAAAAAAGGCACAATTCATCTATAAATTGTGATTTAAAAAATAACTATCAGCTATATTCCTACTCAATCAAATTGTGATACAAACTTGCTGCTGTGAGGTATTTAGGAATTGCTCATATCATAGTTTAATAGCTAATCAATAGTGAAAGTAGGTTCTTCTTTAACTGTGATTTTTTTTTTCCTTTCTCTGTTTTAATCAAGACTTGAAAAAGGCACAACCTTTAAACAACTTCTACAAATGCAGTGACGTGTGCAAAGGCTCATTCACGAGTGTTGACTGAAGGCCGTGTTGCTCGCAGGTTCAGGCTAATGTGAGATTAGAGAGAAGAGATTAGGATTAGGGTCAAACCTAAGGGCATTATAATCAACAGTAAAAGTCATACAACAGAAGAAGCGACTTCTTCAAACCTATAAATGACGTACGTTAAGTAGATTTAAATGATAATCATCTGTTTGGGTCTGCACACATGTTTTTTAAACAGAGGGGACGTTTAAGGAAGTAGATAGTAGGGTGCTCTGATGCATATAAACAGTCCTCTCTGTGAGTACAGATGTTATATTATCCTCAGTGTCGAGGTTTCTACTCAACACACCAGAGAAGCCCACTTTTTTTATTTATTAGCTGCGTATGACAATCATGTGCAAGATGTGACATAACTTGACCTAAACCAGGGTTTTTAACTGCCCATTCAGCCCAGAAGGGATGTTTGGAAATTAGAAACTAGCTGCAAAATTGATGATTAATATACTCACAGGTAAATGTGACTGCTTGTCACATCTACAAGGGGAAAGTTACCTTTAAAAATAATAAAACTGTTTACTGAAAATGCAGAGCAGTGTGCAGGCTGTAAAATAAGGTGTGTTCTGTTTAAATGTTTACAATAAGTGCGCAGGGTCACAGTGCCTGATGCTGTTTTCATTATCTTATTATATCTTCATATTGGGTTTGTTATGGTTTGTTGTAAATGTTTTACATTTGATCAGTGAAATTCCCCTCAGTCTCACATGCAGTTGCAATGAGGCTGCTGTGTTTGAGGAGTTGATGTAACTTTGTTGCTAAGTTACCTCTCTCATCTTCTTGTGATGAAACTGTGATGAAACCACCAGCAAGGAAGAAAGGTGTTGACGTCAGATTACCTTTGCAACCTTAAATCGAAATTGCAAAGTAAATTTCACATTAGTTGCACTGGATAATTGAACATAAAAAACAAGGCCAATTTGAAGGCAGATGGTGTCATAATTCTATAACCATTTATGTGCAATCAACCGTAACTTCATAATGATGAGTTAATGCAAAATACTTGTCTATTGCCACTTTACGATCAGAGGGGATTAACTAGATAACAATCCAGTCTGGGGTTATGTACATATTGGTATTATTAAATGATTGGAGTCACATAATGGAGTCTGTGCAGTCTGGCCTCAATGAATGGCTGCGGAGCCTCCTATTGGAATTAAAGCAGTTATTTCAGGTCACCAGAGCTCCGCTATATGTGTGGCCACATGTTCAATCAAAGTTGAATGAGTTGTTATGTTAACGTGAGCCTTACCCTTTGTTCAGCTGTTGAAGCGACAGGAATGCCAATCTCAGCGGCGATCTGATGGCCGGTGTTACAATAGCACTGAGCCGAGGTCGATATGTGTGGATAAGCCTGCCGATTGGCACAAGGTCGTGTTTTGCTTTATGGTTTGTTTATGTTGACGTGTAAGGTCAGGAGGCAGCAATGTGTTGAATGTTTTATGGCTGTGAAATACCGAAAGTGATAAAAACAAGGCCTTCCTGTTCCTCTGCAGTTATTTTGCTGTTGAGGCTTGCCTCAAAAAGAATCTCTGACGGAGGCATTTAGAAAGATCAAGAACATTGTTTTGAGTTTCACGGTTAAATACCGAATACAAGTTTTCAGTTACATACTCTGCTTTATTTTTTAAATCCAGAACATACCTTCATGACAGGAAGCTTGTAGACATTTGTTCAGATGTGTAATTTATAATGCATATTAGACTATGATGCATGATTATGTTATTCAGAGCTTGAACTGGAAACCCACAAGACAAACACTTCATGAGTTGTTATGGGTTAGTTAAGTCCCTTTAACCCACCTTCATTTGTCAGGTACGGCGGCAGACTTTTCTATTGTGGGAACGTTTGAACTGATGAAAGGTGTATAAAACTGAAGTCACCAACTGTATTTCATGGTTTTCAATCACTATTTCAAGACATATTTCTTTGTGGTGACCATTATTGTGGGAAGAACAGAGTTAGAAAAGGTGTAAGAGGTTGAGGTATCCACTGTGTTGTTGTCGGTCTCCTGAAAAAGCTTCTCTGATGTGGCGCTTCATCAAACCTGCATGCTTATCTTCCAGCATGCCGCAGCAGCAGGTCTGCTGGCAACATATGAAGCCAATTAGCACTAATGAGGGGAGCAGGGACAGGTTTAATTAGCTACCTCGTTACGAGCAGGTGGTTCTGCCTTGTGGGCTTCCCTACACCAAACACGGGGGAAAAACCTAAGAGATAGCCAGAACAGACTTTCATGTATTCTATCCATTAAGATAAGTCTTGCCTGTTTTATGTCATATTTAACTATTATTAATGATTTAATTTGGGTTTGACAATAAAACATTTAAAAAAAACTCACATTCGCTTGAAGGTACTGGGATGGACATTATAATTTGTTTGACCTTTTTCAGATATTTGATAGATTTAACAATTATTGCATTAACCTAGACAACAATTGTGTCCAGGAATGTTGGTGCCGTTATTTAATAAAGAAACAGTTGTTTGAATGCAAACTAAAAATATGTTTTTCTTTCTCTGTCTCTACAGCTGGCCCTGTCTTCATCAAGTGAGTATTCCCTCTGTTGTGTCACTCTTGGCTTTGCCATGGACTTTAAACAGCTTGAATGGCTCTATGACTGATTGATTAACTGATAATGAAAATGATTGTAAACATTCACATGGACTGGTCCACTTATTCACTTCCTCAGCCGCTGTAAGACAGTTAATTTCAAGGCCAGTCGAAGCATTCGATGTCAAACCGTGACTATCGTGCCTGTTTCAGTCACATGAACCAGTTGTATTGATGTCACACTGCCAGACTGCAGCAAAGCCGTGCATACATTAAAACCCCTGTGTGAGCGAGCTGCTGCTGAGTAGGGCCTTCTACCTCCAGCATGTTAACCTACATGTAATGAGCACACGGCTGTGATGTAACTTCAGTGTGGAAACTTCACCTGTCCATTGACCTGGTGCATCTTAAACATGCTAATGCACTTAATGCTCTGTTTACTGCGGTTTTCTGTCTGCTACTCACTCATTTACCATCTAGAGCTGTACTTGCTCTCAGTGTAGCAAAACAAACATCTCATACTGTTGATTCAAGTCAATAAAACATTATTGGAACCATTTATGGGAATATAATGACTGTTAATCCCAAGTTTGTGGTAAGAATGTACTGCTGGGGTGAGGTTGAATGAGTCATAGTACTATGAATAATAAGGCTTTCTTTGTGTAGTACTTTTCATACACAGGATGCAGCTCAAAGTGCTTTAACATTATGGCAAACAACTCTAATGTTTTGCTTCTGTGCCTGTACTCCAATGGATTTGCACAAGTACCATACAACCTGAATTCAAGCAATCCAAACTAGCCCTTTAAATCTTTAGTCTTTCTTTATATATTAGGTATATCATTTGGCACTGACCCCAGTATTTAGACAGCAAAAAACGGGGTTCATCTGATCAGTGTTGGAATATGTTGACATTTCTCCCTCTCTTGCTCCGTCTAGTGGTTGGAGACGCGGCCCAGCAGGCAGCAGTGTCCTGTGTGTAAAGCGGGCATCAGCAGAGAGAAAGTCATCCCGCTTTACGGCAGGGGGAGCTCCAGCCAAGAGGACCCCAGGTACCCTGAGGGTCTGCAGCGCTGTGTGGGGATTCTTTGTGATAGCTGTGTGGTTGCCTTATGATTTCATGCTTCTGTGCTCAGGTTGAAAACTCCCCCTCGGCCACAGGGACAGAGAACAGAGCCGGAGAGTCGGGGCGGGGTGAGTCCGTTTACCTCCACTGTTTGAGATCAATATCCTCTTTTATGTTTATGTTATTTAAAAACGTTATTTCTGTTTTTTCCTCAGATGTTTCAGGGTTTCGGGGACACCGGCTTTCACATGTCTTTCGGCATCGGTGCTTTCCCCTTCGGCTTCTTCACCACAGTCTTCAACGCCAACGACCCCTTTCACAGAGCAGGTAAACAAAAAGACACAAACAAATCTGATGATGACAAGTGAATGTGAAACATACTGTAAGTGTAGTCTGCTTGATGTTTTTTATATATTTCAAACCGAGGAGACACCATTTGTAACCAGGAGGAAAGAGTTAAAAACTTGAAGCTAGAAGTTTCAAAAACTTGCTTTAGTATATGATAATATATATAACTATGATAAGGTAATAGAGAACATTTATGTTTAAAAAAAGGTGGTTTTATTAATTGGATTGGAAAGCCGAAATGTAGCAAAAACCTTTCTACGCTTGGCTGAGAAAGAAAAGTTGGTGTATTGATTATAGTAAAATGCAATGTAAATATATTTCGCAAATAAATTCAGATTTTCAGTGAAGCAATTTGATTTCAACATCCACTGAAGATTCTCGCTTTGCAAAAGAGAGACAATATTTTTTGTATATTTTACATAAATTGTTCGACATTTGGCTAAAAATCTGATGTAAAGTCTGCTACTAAACATGCCTAAAAGTAGCTGAATTATCAGTGACCAAATGAATGTGCTGTTGTGTTGCAAAAAAATTGCAGAAAGCCTGTGATGGATTAGTTTGATTTATAATTGGAATAAATCCCCATCTCAACAGCATAATTAAAGTTAATATGCAACATCCCCTGAGACACTGGTGTAATAAGCGTTCCCCCCTCTCATCAGACCAGTATGCAGGGGATCAGCAAGGCACCCCTAACCTCAACAACGGCAGTAACAACTGGCAGGACTCCCTCTTTCTGTTTGTGGCCATCTTCTTCTTCTTCTGGCTGCTGAGCGTGTGACGTGGACCGGAGTCTCTGGAGTCTCTATTAGCAAGAGGGAGGAGTGCGGGAAAAAAACCCAAACTAAACTAAAGCCACAGACACACACTCATTCTACATTTCCTAGCATGTACTAACTTGAGAGAGAGTGGAGTATTGTGTTGGATCCCAAAACAAGAAGTACACGATGTATTATATCTATTTGGTTTTCCCCTCCTGGCAAAGGCTGGTTCACTTCCTCAGCCCCGGCTAACTGCTTCATTGATTTTTGTTTACCCAAGTTGTGCGTAAACCCAAAATCATGAATCATGTTGGCGCTTGTTTTCTTCATGCACCTGTACATAAACACAGCCAGAACAATAACTGCTGGGGTTCAGAGACAGTATTAAGTGATCAGGGTATGTCATGGCTTTTCTTTTTTTTAAGGTGCGGAAGAGGTGGGTGAAGGATAATTTGGGGCAGAGACTAGTTCTGTGTTTTTTTGGTTTTTCACATTCCTCTTGTGGAGTTAAATGAAAAGAGAGGGAAGGCTATTTGTTATTTCTTACTCTAGATGGCCAAAGAGTAGCGGATGATTCATGTCCGATGTCAGGGGGGTGGAAAGTGTAAATGATTTGTGTTCCTGTTTACAGTTTCCTTGTGAATTGAACAAGAACTCCTAGAATTAGCGACTAATGCTTGAGAACAGACAGACAAGTAGAAATAGCACGGATGGATTTTTTTATACATTTGTCTTAACGAAAACCTGCCATTGCACTGTGAAGTCATTTGTAGACGCAACTGTCCTAAAGATTGGAGCGTGTGTTGGCGTGTAACCACTTGTTGTGTCTTTCCTCACAAAGCTGTACAAACAAGGGACGATTTAGCCCCAGTTTGGGAGATTTTTTCGCATCAACACGAGCAACTTGAGAGTAAAAAGCAATCTGACACACACAGTTTGTTTATTAAAGAGCAAATTGTTGAGAGAGAAACGTTCTGACTAATAAAGTAGCTCGATAAGATCTACACAATACGTCTTGAAGGCAGACTCGATGCAACGCACGAGCAGAATCCTTTCAGTCATTTGTTGAAGGGAGAATTTACAGGAAGCTTTCTGTCAAGGTGATTCGTTTTTTCTTGACTATGTGTCAGTGTGTCTGAGTGAGTGTGTAAACATTATATATTTGTATATATGAATATTGTAAATGCTGTTTTTACGTGTTTGAGTGGATGACCAGCCACAGGTCAGAAGGTTTGAGCGAGTTGGCCTCAAGATGCTTTTGTAAATCAAGTGAATTCCTTTTATTAGAATATGCTTGCAGCCCAAATAACTCCTACAAACTTCACCAATTAATTTAAATACATAAAGTTTGTCCTTCCCTGCTAATGTGATTTGATATGGGGAGATTTGCTCTTTTGTAACTGACACAGTGGACCTTCATTTACTGAACACTGTTTAAAGCAGTTGAGCTAAACTAACACGCATTCATCTTAATAATATCTGACAAGTTAAGGAAAAAGTGACACTCACTTCTTTCTTACTCCACACACACTTCTTTCAGTTTTATACTTGTTTTCCGCCCCACACAGCTCTGGAGCCACAAACCGCTTCATGGGAGTTTTTATTCACCACATATACACTATAACTTCCAAACATAATCAAACACATTTTGGTGTGTGATACCGCTGTAATTCAGTAATTCATCTAATCTAGATGCAATGGATCGGACAATAAAACATCACCCAGGGTCAGAGGAACTCAAGGTTTTCTGTGGGAGAAACAGGAGCTCGTCATTTCTTTCATACCTGTCTGTTCAAGCTACTTTTTGTATTATAAGGCTTATGTGACACTAAGTGATGGAAGTCACGATTTGACAGAGTTAAATGGGAGACATTGTGCAAAACCAAATGATGTAAGAGATTAAAACTTAATTAAAAACAAATCCTTTTGTTTTGAGTTGTCTATCTACATTTTAATATTATGTAATTGGATTTAAAAAACTACATATATATTTGTTTAAGCTGTGTATGTCATCTGTTTAATAATTCAAGCAGAAAAGGAAGATTTTCTAAAGAGTAATTTTTTTTTATGGTTCTGTATTTGCAGGCTTCACAAAAGGAAGAAACATGTAAATGGGTTATCTGATAAACAAGAAAACCAAAGAATAGTAAATAATATCAACCATGATTGTTTACATGTACAGGAGCATCTCTGAAGGGGAGAAACAGTGACAGTGTCGGAAGTACAGTAGGTTGATGGAAGACAAACAGTATTGTCATGTACATATTAACAACCTATCCATATAATCAGTACCATTATTGGGATTGTAAATAATGTTTTGTGTTTATAACTCTTTTTTTTTTACAAATATCTAAAAATATTACTTTTTACTGTTGCTATTTATTTTTGTTCCATCTGATGAAAATACATCTTATGAATCATCCACGAAAGAACGTGATTCAAAATAGAAAATAACTTGCTGCAGGTAAAACTCTTACTTGCATTAAAAGCCATTAAACTGGATTAACAAACCCAAGATAAATAAGTCTAAAAGGAACGGAGATACAGCTATAAGCCAGTAAAAATGGTTAAGAGTTAAATAAAATTATTTGGGGATTTTTTGTCATGAGACAAAGAAAAACAATTTTAACAAACAAATACATTTGATGTCTAAGACACTTTGAATTTCACAGTCCTTTCATGTGCACAGTCATTAATACCACATTTGCATATATACAATAAAAAAGAAAAGGTGCAAAATCAGCAAATAAGTTTCAGTAGACTTGTTTGAAAAACAATTGAAAAGGTATTAAAAAATATAGATCCTGATATTCTGTGACATTGTTAGTGTGGCATCATAAACCTAGGTGGTGAAATGATTTCATTCTTTCCCTTTAACCTTTTTCGGGGCTTTGTTGGATTTGTTGAGGATCTTCATGAGGTTTTTGGACATAAAGTAAGGCTTCTGCAAAGATCCATCGTTACGCTCCAAATCCTCCACTGTGAGAAGGAAAGACACATTGTGATCAAACAGAGCATGTGTGCTTGATTATGTGCGTATTGTTCAATACAAACATGTATCCAAGTTACATTTTAAGCTTCTTAGCTTCAAATCAACATGTAAGAAATATTTGACTATATTTGCAAGTTTTAAAATCTTTCCACAAAAACATAATGATCATACCAACGTGAGGAGGAAACGGGCACCGTGAGAGGCAAGGGAGAACACATTTGGTGATCCATTTTCTAAGTCTTATCTAAATTGTGTTTCTCCTGTGTTTGCCCCCTGCCTCTCACGGCTTCAATAGGTTCCTCATGTTGGATGTATTTCTATATCAACAACATGAATGGTGCTAAACTGTAAATATCTACTCACAGAAGCAGAGGAAGAGTGTATCGACACACATGTTGTACACACTGAAGAATCCGTGGGCTATGAGGTAGCTTCCAAACACCACCGTCTACAAAAACAGATGTGAAAGAAAGAAAGGATTTATAACATACTTTGAATTTGTTTACGTTAAATACTAAGGAGAAACATTTGTGACTTACAATAATTGGCATCCAGTAGTAATTGAGGGTTTCAGAGCGGAAGGTGTTGCCTGGTAGCGATATTCGTCCAGAGAAGAAGAAGAAGGACAAGACACCTGGAAAAAAAATAAGATTTCAGTTTCTCCTTCCATTTCCTGTTATGCATTTATCTAGAAGTGTATTGGGCTTCACTGTATAAGAACACGTCTTTTTGGATTATGTTTACACAATATTCTGTAAGATAAAACTAAAATAAAAACTGATTTTAATCAAACACATCACATGTAACACAATGGTGATTGAGCCCACTGGATAGCGTAGGGCAATATTTATATATTTGCATTAGCTGCTCTCAGTATTTTTACCTGTAGTACGAAACTGTATTTGCTGTTAACACCAGTAAATAGTGTCAAATCCACCAGGACTGAAATCTGAAGCATTGCCATTTAAAACAATGCAAAGTCCTGCATTTGACTGAAGGGCTCAGTATTCTCAGTACTGCATGTTGGATAGTAGTTGGCTGTGTCTGACAACTTCTGTAACAAGAGACTGATGACGTGTGTAGATGAGAATAGGCCAGTCACAGATCTCCTTGAGTCAGCTTGAAGCTGTACAATCAAGGGCAAACACTTTTAAGTGTTTTCAAAGGGAGAATAAAAAAGCACACAGTTATCCACGTGTTTAAACAATGTCTTAACTCGGGCCTCTCTGACAGCTGGCTTTCCACTCCACCCTCCAGGATGGCCGTGTAGAACAACCATAAACACTTTTGGTTTTCGACAAGAACAGACAACACAACATATGAACCCGTTTCTCTCGTGTTACCCGTCCCAATACATGGCGTCATCCTTACCCACTCCTGCGACCACAAGGAGCTTCCCGAAGAACAACAGCAGGTCTGTGACTTTATCCAGCACCACAACCCTAAGGGACACACAGTCAGAAAAACACAACATTATTCACCTAAACCGCCTAACACAAGGATATATATTCATGTCATGCACTGGGCAGACATCATGAGGTCAGCCAGCATTGGAATTGAACTCATGATCATGATTTTAACACAAACCTCACTACATTTCTCATGAGTAGCATGAAAGCATTTTTGGCTGAGACACAGAAGTTTGTCCCATAAATGGCAATCTGTGGGAAAACAAAATCACTTGTTTTAGAAAATAAATATATACAATACATTTTATTAAAATACAACATACTGTATAATATTGTAAATGTTTGTTTCTAATGGACTGATTTCAACAACTGTACAATTCTCTGTCCTCACCATGATGTAAGCGTTCCTGTTGAGGAACTTTATGAACTTCTCCAGACACCAGAGGCAGCACTTCATGCAGCACAATATGAAACGTGCACATGGATTCTGAGCCTCTGGAGACAAAAAGACAAAATAAGCAGCCTGTCATTTAACAGAAAACATTCACTTCCAACTCTTTTCCACTTGTAAACAGCCTGCACATCTTTAGTAGCAATGTATCCACTGAGACATTTGGAAAATAAACTGGAGGTTAATCAACATAATATGTCATGAGATTCATATATTATGTATCTAAGACTAAAAGTGGAACTGCTGAATAAAAAACACTTTGATAAATACTACTAAATATTAGGACTTTTTACACTGAAGCACATGTAACAAGAATAAACATAAAAAAGATGAGATGTGAATGTTAGATGAGGGTTTATCTGCCTTACGTCTGGTTTTGTGGTCGATGTACTCCAGAATCATTCTCGCTATCTGCACCAGGGTCAGGATCAAAGCACCAAACGCCAAAGAGCCCACATGGTACCTGAAATGCAAAGAAATGAGGCTGAGGTCTGCTTCCACACACTGTTATGTTGTGTGTCTAGTGCGCCCTCTAGAGGAAACTGCTTCACACAGTATTTTTTGTGAAGCACTCGAGTACTTTTAGGTTAAAAAGGTTCCCCTTTGTGCATTATCCTCGGTAACGTTATCATGTCACTAGAATCACAAGATGACAGTAAACCAATGATAGCGGCCTTTGGGACTGCAGGCATTCATTTGGGCCTTTTTTGGCAGGGATGGACACACCTGCTGTAAGAGGATGTGACCATGTGACAGCAGCTCATCAACCCACCTGAGAGAGCGTATGAAGCTAGCAGACAAAGGAAAGTAGGGGATGTCGTCGGGTTTGTTGAAGGCCCAGTAGTAGGAGGCGAAGGCCCCTGCCAGCGTGCACTGGCCCAAGGCGATGACGAAGTTGACACACCAGAGAAAAGCCACCGCGTTGTAGATCTGCAGGTTGAAGAGGTTCCTCTGGAAGAGACCCTCCTCGTTGTATTTGATGAAGATGCAGCTGGCTGAGGGGCAGTCTGGGTAGTCTGACGTGTTGAAGTTCTGAGAGAAGAATGAATGAGTGAGTGGGTGATGGAGAAAAAGAAAGTGGAATGGTGCAGTGGTTGAGAGGCTGTGAAGAGTCTTAGCATAAACAGTATGACGTCTCCTCGTACTTATCAGATCATGCATTATCTTTGGTGAAAGGACATTTTATGTTTATCCCTTTCTGATGGCTAGTCATTTAGTTTTAGAGGGGAAATAATTGTATGATAGTAAGTGATGGTAATTTGACTGTTAACAGAGCCAAATTAATTCTACTTGCCAATTCAACCAAAGATATCAATGTAAGAAGTTTACAATGTAGGTCACAATTTGTATCGAGTGTTATTATGATGAATTTAGATCTACAATCATGTGTAAAAGTGTAATCTAGCATAAACAACTTGAACAAATGCTAATACAAATGTGTAAACATCTGAAAATACACAACCAAATTCCACAAATGAAAGAAATATCTGTGAATACGTACACACATTCCTAATACTTTGTATGTATAACTTTTGAAAAGACATTTGTTTACAAGTTTGCATTTTTGAATAAAAAAGGCACTTGTGGATATTAATGCTATGAAAGAAACATTTTGAGATAAACTTCTCCGTGTTCCCATCCTGCCGACTCACCTGAGGGTCACAGTCCACAGAGCCGTTGATACTCTTGCAGTCGTTCATAGTGGAGTTCAGAGCCACCACTCTGTAGATGGGGCCTCCTGAAGTGGCCAAATATCTTTCATTCATCAGTTAAAGAGAACAACAGACACTATGGACTTTATAGAAGTGCAGCTTAGATACACGTTTACTTTGATCTGGTAAAAGGCACACTGTGACTGACAGCATGCATAGAAATACAAAAACAAATGCAAACATAAAAATGAAGGATACAAAGCAGTGGCGCCCCAGTAAGCGACGCACACCAGCACGAGAACGAAGGTGACCAGAGGGTAGAGCAGAGAGGACATCATGTGACTGATTGCCCTGTAGAATATTAACACACACATTTAAAGTTATGCACTCTTCACAGAAAGATTAAAGAACAACATAGACATGGGTTAATATAAGGGGTAATTAAAAGAGAGTAAAATAAGTTTATTGTACACCGTCAGGACTCACTTGCTGGACTCCTTGATGATGGCGATGGCGATGAGGATTCTGGTCCTCAGGAAGATGATTGTCAGGAGAATGATGGCCTCCGCCACAGATATGATTATCACTGAGAGGGAGGAGACAAAAGCGTGACAAGAAGGAAAAACTCCTACTTAAGCGCAAAAATGTGAGCTGACATAATTCAACACGGAATACAATTACAGTTGCGGAGAGCAGTTACTTTTAAATTAAGGTTATCTTTTACCAGAAGCTATTTACAATGTCATAAATCAAGTGGTGTTATAAAACTGAAGTGTCTTCTGTATATCAACAATGGTTTTATTGCATTTATTTTTGGATGTGATTTGGCCTTTATGATGTCATTAGTTATTTCCTGTTCTACTATTTGCCTAAGTAAAAGCTTCATGGTTGACATAATTTAAATAAGCTTTAAATAATACAAGCTTTATAGAATAAGCTTTCATTACTAGTAAACAGTACAGAAAAACATTATTTTTCATGATCTTGGTAAGCAGACTTACAGAACGCCAGCCAGGTCTCTTGGACTTGCAGGTAAACGTTAAAGTTGGTGGTGAAACCGATGTTAGAAATTGTAGCAGAGGCATTCTTGTAGTTACTATATTCCCAGTAGCAGTGCCATATACCTGCAAGAGAAAAGCAACAATGTAACAGTGAGAGGCTACGTAGCTTTACATATAACTTTTTACTGTTAATACCTGTTCATGCAATCAGTTAGAGTTACTAAGAAGAATATTTAAAAAGTTAAATTACACATTACATTTGAACAGTGGACCAAGTTATTTATCTAGTCTTTAGCTTTTCCGTTACACACATTTTTATATACATGTTGCTTAAGAAATGTTTCTGGGTAGTGGGAGACACTGAGGTCTCTATGTGTTTACCGTATGCCCCTGCACCCAGGAGTCCTGCGATGAGCACCCATACCATCACTGGAGCGGTGAATCTCAACAGCAACAGGAACAGCATGCTGACCACCATGGCTATTACCAGACCACTGAGAGGGAATATAACATGGGTATTACGAAAAAGAAAAAAAGGGTATAGAAAACATGAGGTTAATATAATACCAGAGTTGAAGAATGAAGATGTTTATGATGATCAAATCCTACACTATTCAATTGTAAGACATAGATTAGATTAAAAGACTACTGAATGGATGGGTGAGTTTGACCGGTGGCTAATAAGGTGCATATAAAAGAAATGCAAAGACCTGGTCTGCAAAGATGAGAATAATAACAGAAGTAATATAATAAAATAAAGATACATTATGTCCAAGTACTATAACAAACAAATATGTAATGCTAATTGATGCTTCCAGGAGTTCAGCTCAGGATAATCTCAAGGGAAATGTATTTCTGTATTAGTGCCAATAATTGGCAGTGTATGTGAGGTGTAGCTCTGCAGGGTAACTCACACGAGGATCCACGGCCATGACGACGCGAAATCCTCAAAGATGCGGATGCCAATGTCTCTGGCATTGAAGCCATTCACAATGTCCCTAATGAGAAAAAGCAAGGACAAGATGCATCAGTAAAAGTGAGAAGTAAAAAAGGCCTAGTGAAATAAAAACAATGAAGATAGAAGGGTAGAGTAAAAAAATGTGTTAATAAACAAACAATGAACACTACGACGGAGTATGAGGGCCACACTTAGAGGAAAAAAAACACAGGGATTTCGAGAATAAAGTCGTAATAGTACGAGAATAAAGTCATAGTTACGAGAATAAAGTCGTAATGTTACGAGAATAAAGTCATAATTACGAGATTAAAGTCGTAGTTTCATAAGTGACTTGAGAAGCGGACTTGGAGGAGATTGTCTCCTTTCTGTAGGAGGAAATGGCTGGTTCTGGCCGACTACATTACATTGCATTGCATTCAGCTGACGCTTTTATCCAAAGCGGCTTACAATAAATGCATTCGACCAAGAAGATACAAACTTGAAGAAAACAGAATCATACAAGTACATCAGGTTTAAGTTTTCAGTCTGCGCCGGAAGATGTAGGCTATCTGCTGTCCTGATTTCAATGGGGAGCTCATTCCGATTCCACTACAAGGCTATCGTTCGACTCCTTCTGGATCCAAAGCCTTGATTACAAGTCTCTCAGTTTCTTGTGAAACAACAAATCCCTTTGAACAGCTCGTAGATGTAACCAACGATAGCCTTGTAGTCGGCCAGAACCAGACATTTCCTCCTGCAGAAAGGAGACAATCTCCTCCAAGTCCGTTTGGTTCTTTCTTCAAAATAATAGACATAGTTTCTTGCACAACCTTTTCAAAGTTCTAATACTTATGATAATCTGATGCTGATGTGCCAAAGGATTAAGTATTTCGTTATTTGAGAAACCTAAACTAAAGTACTGCTTCACAAGATCTCATTGTATTGCAGGACGTTGCTGTTGTCTCCTTCTCAAGTCACTTGTGAAACTACGACTTTAATCCGTAGACTGTATATATAAAGCTTTAATCTCGTAACTATGACTTTATTCTCTTATTATTACGACTTCTCGAAATCTCTGGGTTTTTTTTCTAAGTGTGGCCCTAATAGCCTACTCCGTCGTAGAATACAGCCTGTTGGAAGTTACAAAAATAAATGAAGTGGTAAAGACTAAAAAGATAAACATAACCCCAAAGAATCAGAATAGAGAAAGAGAGAATGGAGAAATGAATCTGCTGTAAGAGAGATACACATTACTTTCTACTAACCCCGCAAGTCACAAGCGAGTGTTTCACACAGCATCTAAGGCCACAACAGCAACTACAAACTATCTGCTACACAAAGAGCCGACACAAACACTCATGAAGACCTACCGTGTGCTGGTGATCAGGAGGAGAGAGAAACAGGGTTAACATTTGTATCTGGTGTGTCCTTATATGTGATTTACAGTTTTTTACTTCCCCTTTGGCTCGATTATTGAACTAGAATTACAACCGTAATTTTAAAACCGTAAATTCAAATCTCTGAACAATGCTCTTGTTATTCTCACCAGATTTGAATTTGCCATTGATTCAAGTATACTATACACATAAGCATAGCGTTTTTCTTTGTACTATATCATTTATTGACCTTTCCTTGTAAACTTTGACCTAGAGTTGAAAAAAAACATCTAAATATTCTGAAGAGTAAGGCTCACATATAAAACAAACTTAATTTCATTTGCAAACAATAACTAGGTTGTTCGGGAACAAATGAAATGCCTTGAGTAAGTTACCACCTTTTGCAGAAATATATGTTATTGCCCATGAAACAGTTGTGATGATTACATCCAACACTTTGGAAATGTTAGGGTTGGTTCAAAGAAATGAGTCAAAGCAATTGAAAAACAAAGAATGAGTTTTTCATTCAACCCACGATGAGGTGAGGAAACTCTGTATCTTACCCTGTGCCGTTCATCATTTGGTTGACTGTGTCGTTGACTGAGGAGGGTAAACCTGGAATTTCTGAGAAGAACGAAGGGACCCTGTCCAGTGCTGTGATATCGGGCAAACATCTCCCCAGCACTATCAGAACAGAAAATAATCAAATCAGCTTGAAATTGAAGACTATAATTTCCTTGATATCTAAGGCACTTTCCATCACAAGCCATCATGCATCAAATACACAACAGTGACAATAAGTTAATGTACATTCTAAATAAGCAGCCGTATGAAACTCATACCCACCCTGCTATAGTGCTCATGTATCATCAGACCAATATTAATATGGATGCAATGTAGTCTATAGGAGCATTAAACTCACCAGAGGCCGTGGGCATGTAGAAGAAAGGACACAGCTCCTTGTCCACTATGTCTTGAACACTCTGAGAAGAACATTATCACATAGTTTAACAATTACACGTGAATCAATCAAAGTGTACTATTTTGCAAATTATAAAGCATAATACAAAATGTTAAATGTACTAAAAATGATCAAAGCAAATCTTTCATCTGGGATTTTTTTAAAGGAACACACAACGTTTTCTAAGAATGGGACTTACAAACTTAGTTGTTGCCAGGTCTATGGATGGCACACAGAGAGTTTGATTGAAAACGTCTGCTGGCTTTACATTAGGCAAATATGACAGTATCCCCACAGCCCAAAACTGAGAGGGACAGCTCTCCACGCACACCTATAGGTAGAGAAAAAAGGTGATTATTTCTGGGACACTGGGATAGTACAGTTAACCGACCAGTATCATCAGAAACAACAAAAGCAGCCTTCTTTACCTGCATGGTTGGACACTGAAAACCGTTAAGGGCATTTGCCATAACATTAACAGATGTGGCACACTTGATGAAGTCGAAGTAGAACAGGTTGGGTCGGCCTCTGAGAGAGAAAGATTTGAAATACTTAAAATGCACATTCTTTATGTTAACGTTTTTCGAAAAGACGAGAGGTTGAATTACTCATTCTCTCCAATGCCGCAGAACCATCCAGTTGAGTTTCTTGGATAAAGAACATGTCTTGGGTCACCGAAAAGCCAAGCTAATAGGAAAAAAACACAAAAAAGGTAAGATATTGACAGCAAGTCACGCTCCATGCTTTGGCACTGAGGAAACGGTACTTCTGCAAGAGGGCAGTGTTATCATATTCAACCCCATTCTTTACCAGCATTTTAACAACAAATTGTAACAGTCTAATATAAAGATTGGGTCACAGAACACAATTCTTGTTGTCAAAATTAGTATGTCATCAAGCAAGATTTTAACAAATATATACATTTGCATGCACCAAAGTGGCTTTACTGCCTTTTTACACCCCAGAATTTAGTGTGATACCAGCCATTGATGAATATGTTCAGTCCAACCACAAGAGGGCACAAAGGTCATATAAGTGCATCGTTTCTTCATCTGAGCTAGACACTATGTTAAGTATTTTATTAGGGATTAATTTAGCCCTTATGTTTTAACAATAGCCAGTAGATTCCTCCACTACAGCAACTCGACAATAGCTAACCAATGCTTTTGACCTGCCTCTATGGATCTGATTATTTGGGACGCACACAGTCGCTGACACATATTTGGCTTATCTGGCCTCTTTGTTGACTCGAGATAAGAGGGAGTTATAAGTGCTGCAATGAGTTTGATGACAGGGCAATAAAGAGCCGCTGACTGGATGTTGTAGTGGAAATCAGCATTTCGTACGTAATGATATTTCTCAACATATAAAACGTACATCTTTTTTTTTTAAGATGCATCGAGGAATTATGATGAAGAAATAGAATAGATTCATTCAAAGGGAAATCACAGGAGACACAAAACCTTAGTTAAAATAATATTTTAAAATATATATTATTGTGTCCCCCCAATAACTCTATTGAGTAATTGCAGATGTACTACCAAGGTAGAGAAACAAAGAGAGACACACATATTTGTATTGTCTGTATTTTGACAGAAAGACTGTAAAGGAAGTGGCACTTCCTTTTCTACCTTTCCCCATAAAATCACACTTTTAGTGTTTCGAACAAAAAAGGAGTGTGAGAGAGGGAGTATAGAGGAACAAACTTTCAAATAAAAATAAATAAATAATACTTCAAGGATTTCATTGAAATACATCTCAACATGTTAACAAAAACATCTATGTAAAAATGCACATTTAAGTTCATTTTGGTATTCCTGGTTATTCATGAAACTTGAAAAGACTATGCAACCTTTGTTTGCTATTTTTTCCAATTTAGTGGAACAAAGAAGGACGCAGAGAGGAGAATGTGATATGTGGGGCATGTGTTGGTGCTGTCAGGTTACTCTCACCTAAAATCCCAACTGCTATGTAGCCCAGGAGGACCGCCATAAACAGGATACAGCAGATGATATCAGTGCACCCTCTGATGGAGGAAAGGGAGAGGTTATTGTAAACAGGCTGACCTTTGCATCAAAGTTTGCCTTGAGGGTGACAAACGTGATTCAGTCAACAGGAACTTTGGAAAAACACAATCTGCTGGGTTTAGGATTTGCAGTTTAAGGAGTTATTTGTAAAAAAAACAAAGAAAAACCAGGGACAGTGTTACCTTTTCTTCATGGGCCCATTGAACGTTGGGTCAAACTCAGCCGGTTCTCCTGGGAAAGGAAAACAAGACAAGTTAGCTTTGAATGAAAAGTAAATTAATCACTGACCGGCCTTATCATGAAACATTAGTCAGAGACTTCTGTGTTTGTTTACAGGGAGATTCTCAAGGACACATTAGTTTATCACACACTTCTGTAATGGCACTTAACCTGACATTTCCCCCTCAAGGAAATGCATTTAATCTGTGTGCTATACATGTGGACATGAGGAAGTACATTTGCATACAAAAATATGTTTTATATATTCTCTCTATTGCTCACTTTGAACATAGGTTACTTTCTTAGAGTTAATGAATTACAATTACAGGTGAATAAGGAAGTACTTTTAGAGACTAGAGAATGAATATTGATTCATGTGGGTTAGTTGCTCACAGGTCCTTGACAATTCAATTGGAATTACAGACGTGACAGGTATAACAGGAAATACATTATGTCATTGACGTGTCCTGGAACAGAAAGAAAGGTTGCCAGCAAGACAAACCTTGGAAACCACTGGGTGTCGTTTAGCATACAGAACAAGAATGATTTTCATAAGCACAAAAGAGTTTGTTCACATTAGTTCCGAGGGAAAAGGATCTGGGCGGAGGAAAAGCATAGATACTAGCAGCTTGTGCTTATTTGAATATCATTTGAATTCAAAACATGGCTTTGGAAGGAGGGAGTTTTGTCACAGACGCTAAGTTATTTTATTGGGGACATTAACAATATCAAAACATGTTTGAGGAGAGGCAAACTGAAGAACTTCCTCAAATGAGAGTCAGATCAGTGAGCCCCAATTAGCCTCCATTGCCTCATCCAGTCTGGCAGGAAAAACACAACCGACAGCTTGGAGTGCCATCCTTAGAACACGTAGACATCCTTTGGCAGGTGTAACACTATACCACAAATAATAACAAAAGTAAATTGTCTTTTTTGCGCTGCAGCACCAATAAATGTGTTGACAAAGAGTCTAGATATAATAAAAAGTGTTTCTCTGTCGGTTGTATGTGGGATTCCCATCTGATACATGCAAATGCAATTCAGTCTCATGGCATTTCGTGTTCACCAACACGATTTTTAATCTATTGATTCGTGTTCACCAACACGATTTTTAATCTATTGATTCGTGTTCACCAACAAGATTTCCCCCTTTTTTTCGTGTTGCACAGCACGATTTTAAAAGCAATGTATTTCTATTGGTAGTCTCACAGCATTACGTGTTATAGGAAGACCGGAAGCTGTGACTACCAATAGAAATACATTGCTTTTAAAATCGTGCTGTGCAACACGAAAAAAAGGGGAAAATCGTGTTGGTGAACANGAATGTCCTAAGAAGGTTCCTTTGGGCTTGGAAAGGGGGCTTAAGTTTGAACACACACACACACACACACACACACACACACACACACCCACACCTTGGCTCAAACTTAAGCCCCCTTTCCAAGCCCAAAGGAACCTTCTTAGGACATTCTGCCACTAACACCATCACCTTATTTTAATGTATCGTTGTACTAATAAAACTGTATTAGGTTATTAGTACTATTTAAACTTAATATTATTGCTTTTAACTAACCAAAAACAGTGATGTGAAATCTGTTGACATAATGCATTTCAACGTTTCAGATTTTTCAGTGTACGAATTGTATGTTGTATTGTTTATGGTGAGTGTTTTTTATGTTTGCCAGTGCCAAAGATATATGTACATTTAATGGACCACAAAGGTATTCTGAATCTGCATCTAGATATATTACTCTGTTAACCAAGATGATTTGTTGAACAAGGAGAAGAATGGCTTTTTTAAGTATTGTGTGCACTGTTCTGCACATGATGATTATTTTTGGGCACGAGATCATGTTGATGTTTGATATAATGAAAACAGCCTTTTCAGTATGACTGTGAAAAATAAACATTTATAGATGTGTTTCTGATTTCCTCCTGACGTTGGCTTTTTCACTGGATTTATTGCAGATATGGTGTTTGTCGAGAATAATGCACATAATATGAGACCTTAGAAAAAGTATTAACATATTTGATTAAATTTGGACTATAGTCTTCAAATAGAGATTTTAAAAATATGTATTGTACTGTAGTCATACTTGTATTGAGTTTCGGTGAGTAAGGGTAAATACAATTGTTTCTTAAGGGCTTCAAACAAATGTTTAAAAATGTATTTGAGAAACATCTTAATCCTAAAAGCAAACTATGTGTTATAGTTCTAATGAACAAAGTCAAATAAATTATTTAACCATCATTGTTTACAACAACAACATGCAGACATCAATTTTGAATCTTTATTTATCGATAACATATTTAGTGGTGTTTGAAACAAAGTGACTCACAATGCCAACATGTCTGTTCAAAAGTCTGGTTTATTTCAGTGGTAAGTTTCAGGTACATCACATTTCACTTAAAATCATCTCAGTAGCTTTAAAGATCATCAACGAAAGAAAAAGAAAAAATAAGTTGAATAAAAACTTGGCTTCCCTCAAAGGGAAATTGTGAAAGCATCGGCAGGATTGGTGATAGTAAAAATATCAGAAAAAGATTAGAGCCCTCAAGTCGGGCATTTATCTAACAGACTCAAAAACAGTTAAAGTAAGTGCCTTAAACGTTAGAATTAGCCTATGAGTCGGTGGTATGCAGCAGGAAGCCGGTGAAAGTGTTAAAGTGGCTTAGGTTATCACAGATGACACATCCTGCAGGCAGGAGGACCCCCACCTGGTCCCCAGCCTTCAGTCCCGCAGCCACCACCACCGTGGAACTGTCTTCAGGGTCATTGCCTTTATGTTCGGGTAAAACAGCTACCGCATGGCCGTTGACCATCAGGTTAGCACAGGCGGCAAAGGGGTTAATAGGAGAATCAATGTCGCTGTAGATGGTGACGGCGAGGCTGTAGACACCAGAGCGAGGAGCGGTGAAGATACTGGTGTCCGTACTGTAGCTATCACCCAGATTGATGAAGACGTGTTTGAAAGGGATGAGTTTGTCGTCAGGGAAGGGGCCAAAGCAGTCCATTCTAGCGTTGCTGTTGAGAGCGACAGAGAAGGCACTGCGGCTCTCTGAAAAAGCAGAGAAGAATAGAAAATCAGGTTGGAAGAATAAGGTGAAGGAGTTTTATTCTTCAAAGCAACATTGACTCACTAACCAAGTTGATAAGTAACATTAAAACAATTCTGTTTTGTATTTTACATTTTCCACAATGTTATGTTCAATAAGCAAATGAGGCATTTAACTATTTGAAAATGTGTTAAATTGATTTCCCGAACAGAAATCTTAACATCGGATATTGCTAGATTCAAAATTCAGGGTCAAATGTTTTTAAATAAGCAACTTTGAATATCTGTTTGTATCACTCCATAAATAACAAAAAACTGTCCACAACCAGAAAACATATGGGACGTGAATTTTATATATAAATCTGGCATGAATTAATGAACAAACCTTAAATACCTTACCTAACCAGTGCATAAAAAAACGTGTGTGTCTTTGCTTTAAGATATTTTGATAACGTTATGAACTGACTCCTGGTTTGTTTGCGGGATCTGCTCACCTCTGAAATAGTTGAGGGCCATCTTTGATTCTGTCAGGACGTGGTGCATTCCTTCATAGCTGAAGTTAAAGTACTGTTCCATCCTGTTCAATTGCTTCTGCATCACACAGCAGCCACACGATTGCTGATCCAAATAACACGCTGTGCATGCATACATTCACAAACAAAAAAGCACACACATTAAGACAAAGGTTGCAGGTGTAAGTATGTGCAGACACATTGACTATATATTGACAGACAAAATAAATACATTTTCCTAAAACTCTCTTACGATTGGATGCTGTGTCAGAAGAAGTAGAGGAAGGATCCACCCAGCCATATCCTTCCATCCCAAAAGCTGCATGCAGCATACAAAGCAACACAATAGCTGGGGGGGGGAAAGCAAAGGCACACAAATAAAACGCAGAAAATGGTTTGCATTATAGTTTCTCGGAAAAATGACCTTACTCTGGACTGCTGTTTCCGTGCCTTTAAGCTTTAAAAAAGAGACCATTCCCTCCTACATTACATTGTACATGTGTCCCCAGAATTGTGTTTCTTCTTCGTTGTTAAATACCACATTGAAAAGCCATCTTCATTTAGGATATTTCTAACCTGCTCTTCTTCCATTATGTCTGACCTTTCAGTTGAAAAGTCATTCTGGATTCCATATTGTCTGTGAAGCTAGAAACCCTTACCATCCTAAATATTATGCCACTGTAGTTGAAACTTGTATTAAGTCTCACCTCTCATGTTGATGCTGGTGAAGGATGATGGCTTCAGATGGATTGAAAGTGCGTAGACTGATCCCGAGACAAAAGACTTGGATATTTATATTTTTCTGAGAGTCCCGCCCTTGTTACCTCTCGTTTTTATTCTTCCTCTTTTGGCATTGCTCGTCCTTGTTTTTATTGTTGCCCTATTTGCCTTTATGACTTTCATGACTAAAGCTGTATTTATTCATCGCTAGGGGCTCTCATTTTGTAGAAATCACACACAACCAGACACACACCCTAAAGGGCTTTGTTGGTAAGGCCAACCAGGTATAATGTATCGCCTGAGAGGAGGTAGTGTGTCCATTACAAAGGAAGTGACGAACAAGAGAAAAGCCATTTAAAGTCTTGCAGTAAACACAGGAGCCACCGGCTTAAAATACCATTCAGCTTGGAGGCCATTTAGGGTTGTAGTGATGTTCATTTAGTAGCCAGGTTTTGATAAGGAAAAATAATGTGTTGGGGGGAAAAAGCTGATATCTTCCCACCATGAGTCCAACAATGTCATGAGTTCAATGCTACATCAATGGAGTACTCTTTCGACTTTCCAGTGTCCCATTGTGGTGATTAAAACAAAAATACCACAGCTACAGTTTGGTTGAGAATCCTGGTTTATTTTGTCCACATAAAAAAAAAAAAAAAAAAATCATACATGTCACATAAAATCAGTAAACGACACAGTTTAATTCACAAGAACCAAGTTACTCAGACTGCATGGCATTAGTTAGTTGTTATGGGGAATAGGTTAAAAGATATACAACATTTTGAACTGTTATTTAGAAGGCTTCAGAAATGTGGATTTAAATAATTGCATCTGTCAAAAGATAATATAGGGTCTAAAGGTTTTTGAAGTAAAGATGAGGACGTTGTGTTGAGATGGATTAAAGATAGCAATAGAGAAGATATATTCAAGACTAAAAAGCACACTTCTCACCACAGAAAGATTTCATGTATCAGACTCAAACCTCATCAGGAGGTCAAGAGTTGGTACAAATCCAAGGGCAGCTACATTTCCCTAACTTAATCAGTAGCATACAGCAAGTGAATAGTGGCTGTTGTCATCGCAGAGGAAACTTCCAATGGGCAGGTTGACAGCCACCTCGTCCCCAGCATTCAGGTGGAGGGCCACAACTATAGTGGCGCTGTCCTCTTGGTCTTGCATATTTCTGTCTTTGGATCCTGCCACCACCAGGCCGTTAACCTGCAGACTGGCGCAGGCGGCCAACGTGTTGCCAGGAGCCCCGGCGTCACTGTAGATGGTGAGGGCCAGGCTGTAGACACCAGAGCGAGGAACAGTAAAGATACCAGTGTCTGTACTGTAGCTATCACCCAGATTGATTGATACGTGTTTGTAAGGGATGAGTTTGTCGTCAGGGAAGGGGCCAGAGCAGTTGAAGTTGTTTTCATTGATTAGAGACACAGAGAAGGCACTGCGGCTGGCTGGAGATGCAGAGGGGGGAGAGAAAAACATGAGGTTATACTGGGGAAAGCCACTGATGTATTACCTTCACTCTCCTCTTGAGTATCTCATACACTTGGCTCACCTCTGATATTGTTGAGAATGTTCTTTGTTTTTGTCAGTTCCTGCTCCAGCTCAGTCACATCTTCATCCTTTGTATCTGCTGCTGCATCAGACAGCAACCACACGACCCCTGGTCAGTAAGGCATGCTGAACACACAGAAGTTCAGTAGGTTGAAGATGAAAGGGTCTGCCGACTCAATAACTATTTCCCATGACTTATTATAATTTCTTTTTCACTCACCATTTTCCGTTTTGGAATCAACCACCTGTCCCCTCCAGGCATACATATTGGCCCGAATTAAGGCATCTTCCAATAGACATAGCAAAACAGCAGCTGGGAGAAGAAAAAACAGTTATTAACCAATAACCCAGAAAGAATCCTATCATTGAAAGTAAAAAAATTTACAACTTTTCTATTTATATCTAGTCTCACCTCGCATGGTGATGCTGGCAGTTGACGAAGGCTTCAAGAGGGCAGACTCATTGACTCATGCAGGGTCTCCCTTATATATCTATGTTTCCCATCAATTCTCTTCTATAGCTCCTCCCAGTTTCCCCTATACCATTATGTTTTGCCTTATGCCTGCATATGTATACACCTGTATACCTTAACTCCTTTATGTTTGCGTGGGGGCAGCACAGACCCACACAAACACACACACAGACACCGTCCTGGTTTTTGTGTTGTTGATGTAGGTCCGGTATTATCTGTCCTCGGAGGCTAGCTGTCTATGTGGTTCAGCATTCCCATCAACACGCAAATATGTATGCATGGATTTCCTCTCTTTCCAATTATATATTGTGCATTAAAATGAAGTGACCTGAAGTGTCTAAATGTAACTAAGTACATTTAATCATGTACTGTACTTAAGTACTAATGTCAGCTACTTTTAATTTGACTCAAATCTGTTCTGTCACTTACTTTCTACTTCTCATTTATACTTCCCTACATTTGTCTTACAGATCTAATTACTTCTTACTTTTTCCAGAAGCCATGTCCTCACTCATTATTACTTTCTCTAATTTGTCCTACTTTTTCAATCAGGGCAAGACACAACAAGCTGTGGCCACACGTGTAACACGAGAGCTTTATTGTCTTCCTGTGAATAGTGTTGAATTTCCTGACTAGCACAAAACCAGGCTATGCTTGTGAGTGTTAGGTCAAGAGAAGAAGACACACAAAAAAGTGGCCTCGCTCAGAGCAACAAGTGGGGGGGTGATTATTTGAGTCAAAATGTATATTTGATTGAATGTAGGATGATTACTTTAGTCGTTGTTATAGCTTTCACTTATTTTCTTGTGGTTTTTGTTCTTTCTCTTTGTACATTTAATCAGTGCAAACTATTGTTGCATTTGCATATGCTCTGTGAGACTGACCGTTGAGCGGCCCGACCAAGCAAGGAGGAAGAGGCAGAACGTCCAAAAATATAACCCGACGTGGGCATTTATTAAAATAATGTGCACAAAGTTCACAGCCTCAATCCTGCTGTTCTCCGTGAACACATCCTGCAGCCACAAAGATCTCACTCACCCACTACCACTCTACACAGACAGGGAAAACAGAGCCTAAATACCCACACCCCAATCAGCACAACAAGAAACAGCACTTAAATACACAGACTAACAAGACACAGGTGAGGGGGAGCAATTAGACACAGGTGAGGGGGGAGGAGACAACACAGGGCACCAGGTGAACACAATTGGGTAATCAGTAGGAGGGAACACAGAGACGACCGGAAGCAACAAACAAGATGGGGGTGAACACTTATACCATTAAATAAATACTACATCAATAAATTATATAAACATGTTCACGAGAGCTCTAGTAACGGCGCATCGTCGTGCTCATACTTTGCTTTTCATTGCTAAATTATAGCATATTGTCATTGTGTGTCCACTTCTTTAAGTTGTAGCGTAAAACCTTGGTTATAATAATAATAATAATAAATTACATTTGTATAGCGCTTTTCCTGGTGCACTATGGAAAACTTATGAAAAATATTTTTGATCATAAATTGTATCTTTGAGAGCAAATTATGACAGCAAATATAAACCTTTACTGTGTTACTTACTAGTATGCTTAAACAATCTGTATTAGCATACTCAAACCAATACTGAGGGCTACTCAAACTTCGTAAGTTAACCTAAGTAACATGTTTTAATAAGGACGTATCGATGAAATGCGTGTTTTCTCTTTTATTCACTTACAAATCAATCTCATCAATTAAGCTTTTGTGTAAAAAGAATATGAAAACCAGACATTTCTGAATTTGTTTTGTTTCTATATGACATAACCTTATTACAATTTGCCAACCAGACAAGCTGGTTATATCAAAAGCTGACAACACATTTTTCATATACAACTCAATCCAATTGGCAAACAGTCACTGTAGCTCCCACTCCGGTCCAGAACCTGAACCCTGGGTGCAGCGGACCTGTGAACTGGCTCTGGTGTTGGTGGATGATCTCAGCCTGGTTGTGGGAGATGCGGTAGAAGGCCAGAACCCCTGCATGCTGGTCCAGATAGATGCCAACCCGCCGGGACTTAGGAGAGCCCAGCAGTTTTTCCTGACCATTGTGCCAGAAAGAGAAGCCAGTCCCGGACCAGTACAAGCTCCAAGACAGAGCGTTGTGGCCCAAACGGCTGCTGTCATCAGAAGACCTACGATTAATCTCCTTGTATGCCACGCCTATAGTCATCTTTATGGTGGGACAGAAAAAAAACTAGATAAGAAAATAAAGCTCCCTTGCACTAGTTCATAAATTGCGCTATTTGTATTCTACAATTTCCCTGAGCTGGTTTTCAAATGAGAGCTTAGATTTATTTTCTGTCTTAACTTTTGTGATTTTGAGTTTTCGGAACGTGGTTGATTTTGTGAAAATTAAAGGTGACCTATCATGCAAAATGCACTTTTGTACGTCTTTTCTACATGAATATGTGTCCCCGGTGTTCCAGGGAACTCACCAAGTGTCAGAAAACACAACCCTCTCTATTTTCCTCCATACCCAAATCTCTTAAAAAGGGGCTGCAACGGATCTGATACAGACTGATCCAGATTTGAACACTTCTATGACGTCACAGAAGTGGCGCTACGGCTATTGGGCCAACTCCACCAATCAGGAGGAGACAGCCACGACATTGTCGTTCGAAAGTGCTGGAGACGCTGCAGTACATATGCCAGGCCTGTAGATGGTGCTGTTCTCACAGAATCAGCCCATGCAAAGACAGTGTTAAATTGAGCAAAATGAGGAATGGCTAAAATGCATGATCTGTTTGGTATTTTGAAAAATAAAAAGTATAAATATGCCTTATATAGGTATGGTCCTACACTATATTATTCAAATATAGCATGATAGGTCCACTTTAAGGAAAAGCTTCCCATTGATCACCTGCATCAGGGCATATAGTATTATTTGTACACAATTCCCTATTGGAAAGATAAATGTTTATTATTAAAAAATATATCTTTTAAAACTATTATTAAGAAAATACTTTTTTTAGTGAACCATCACAACACAGTTGCAGCTATCAAGTAGTTTATCTAGCAATGGAAAACATTTTAAAATTATGAAAAGTTAAGGGATCTCTAAATATGTCTCAATTCATCCTAAGGGGAAGATTATTTTGCGTTTTGAATGAAAATTAATCACATGGTTGTTTACGCTGATTATCCATGTATGCAATGTCTATGATATGAAGTCAACCAAGATTATTTTGACTTATTTATTGACCTCAGACATAAAGTTGTAATGTCTAAGGATTCACCTTCTTGCCAGTCCACTCCACCTCCCAGTAGAAAGGGCTCCCTGCCAGAGCCTCTCTGCAGAGAACCTGCCTCCAGAAGAGGAAGCGCTCAGGATGCTCCGGTAGGTTCAGGTTCTCAGCACGCATCGTGGCCTTATGACCTCCATCGGAAAGCTGCACGTGGCGATAAACGGTGTTGGCGTCCATGGTGGGCTCGAAGCGAACTGAAGGGAGAGGACGCATTTTAGTGAAGACTCTGGATCTCCCCAAAGACTATTAGACTGTGTTGTTTATTTAGCTTTATATTAAAGAGTATGATGGACTCACATTTCAGTAATTCTTCTCTTGTCTTTGGTTCTGGGTTAACAAGTCCAACGGTTGTTACAGGAGGTGCTACAAGGTAACAAATATTTATATTAAAATCAGTGAAATTATATACACGTTTTACTTCTACAAAAATAAGTAGTTGATGGATAAATACTTTTGTATTTACCCTGAGGTTGGGGAGCAGGGAAGGGGGAAGGTGGGGCTGAAGCTTCATGGAGGAAAGGAAACACAGGAACCGGTAAACCGAATGAAATCTCAATTCCATGATATAACACTTCTGAAACCTTTTCATGTAATCTAGCCCCAGTATTACTTATTCTTACCCTCAGCACATGCAGGACGTTTTAATGAATCCTCATGCTGGCCTAGGGAAACAGAAAGTGGAAATAAAGCATTATAACTTGGGTCATTTCTAACAGACATATTTAAACACCACAGACATATAGTATAAAATGCTTCTGCAGTAACTTACACCGAGGTCGTGGAGGTGGCAAAGGAGCAGGGTCTGTCATCATCTCATACACTACAGGAAAAAGGAGATGAGTTGTAAAACACATATCTAAAAGGTTTCCTTATTTCAGTTTATGAATAAATAAGAAATAAAGGGAAACCTTGGGATGATACTTTTAACTTTTTAACATTCACTTTAATTCTTGGGCTTAGGAGAAGGTAAAATATTTCCATGTCATAAGTCCAAGTAAAGGTAATTTTGTCCAAAGCCTTTTGCTCAATAAACTCTGTATAATGTCCAGCAAATCAATTATTTTTCAGAATTCAGCAAATCATGTCTCAAGTGATAACAACTGTGACTAGAGTCCAACTCTGGTTCAAGTCATGTGCATCAAGTCCACACCTATAGTTTCTGAGTATAACAGTCAAAACAAACTTTTGTTTATCATGATTGTGTTCTGCTTTTATCACACTGGTTGATTTTAAGTTACTGTACCTGTAGTTTGTGTGGTCGCCTGGCCACTGCTAGCTGCTGCCGCTGCTGCTGAGGCATCATTGGATGTTGAAGCCACTGCATCAGGATTCACTACAAAAAAAAAGGAAGGTTTTGAATGTCTGAAATTGAGAAGAATGGCAAGAAAGAGAGAGGGGAAATAAAATACTGACCTAATGTGATGACCTTGGCCAGACTGGCTTTGCAGAGTTCCTGAATTGACTCCTGTAGTTCTTTCATGGTAGAGCGAACAGAGGCTATCACCGCTTCCTCCTGATTCAGTATCGACTCTCCTATTGCTCCTGTCTGACCCAGCGGCTCCATGATGAAGAAATTCTTTAGAAAGAAACAACAAAATGTATAACAATAAGACATAGGATTTTAAATGTCATTACTGGTGAACCTTATTCTCTGTGCATCATGATAAAATCAAGTGGTTTTGATTATTTCTAGTTCACACCCAACCACTAATTACCTTCAAGAAGCAGATGTCGTCCTGCATGTCCTTCAGCCTGCTCAGCTCATCATTCTTCCAGCGCAGCGATGCCACCTCCTGCTCCAGTCTGTGGATCTGTCCTTCGACCCGGCTACCTAAGGAGGTCTCATGGGTGCTGAGGACCTCACCGACCTGGATGCCTGTTTGATTCACAGTCTTGACAAGCTCCGAGAATAAATCTATGCTCTCTTGATTTAGAGCCTGCACCAAGGCCTACGAAATTCCCAAAGAGGAGGAGAAGAGGGTACAAGGATTGTAAATGTGTTTGTCGTAACAATCAAAACATCAAAAAATGAATGGGTTCAAAGGTTTCTCCTCAAAACTACATAACTTCTTACTTTGTGTTGGCGGGCAGCATGTGGGAGCTCTATAAGCCTCTTTTCCGTCTCCTGGATTCTCTTCTGTATTTCTACTTGCATCTGATTAAGCTCTTTCTGGACACACAAACAAAACACACACACACACACACACACACACACACACACACACACACACACACACACACACACACACACACACACACACACACACACACACACACACACACACACACACACACACAAAGCATTGCTTCTTCTGTATCTTACTGTGTTGTTTCAACTCCCACCAGGGTGGAATAAATGGCTGGAGTCAACCGTCAAGCCCCAGAGCTCAGCTGATGAGGTTTGATTAAAGCTTCTGAAACCCCAAACCTGCTCCGTGTGTGTTCGCTTTCAATCACTGGGGCTCACGCACAAGTTAAGAGTCAGATAGTATAACAGCTCACATACACATGTACTGCATCACCTCTCCTGTGTGTGTGTCCTCTAAACCATCTCTGCAAAAACAAGGGAGCATCTTTGACCTTGTGACCTTTCCAATTTACCAGCCTGAGCTAAGCGCAGGATGAGGCTCAGCGTACGGACGCACTTGAAACATCTGGAAAACCTTAACCTCTGCTAAATGAATGGGTGGAGGTACGGATTATTGGTTTTCTGAAGTCATTTTGTCATCATGCAACACTCCAAACACGATGCTGGTGTTTCCAGTTTGAACAAGAAAACATATTTAGTGCACTGACAACACATTCACATGACAATGTCTCCAACACTATAAATTAAAGTTGGATAACACATTCCTCAAGCTTGCTTTATCGTTTGTTTTCTACAACTGGTTTCTGGTTGTCAGGATGTGTGACATGCCAGACATTCAGTTCTCTTATTGTAATAACTAAATCATAGTTTTACAGCCTTCTTTTTTGTTTAACTGCATAGGTGTGAACATTTGATTGTTGGCATGTTGTTCCTCAAGCTTCGCAGCAATGCAAGCTATATAGTTCTGTGTTTTGCTCAACACAGACGCCCTGTTGTGTCAACAAGGCAGGTTTATGATAAGAGTTATTATTCTGATGCTTGTGGTATTTATGGGAAAGGTGGCTTGCTATAGCTTCACGTGCTACATGTTCACATAAGGTGTTTACACTGTATTTTATTGAATGACATGGATTACATGTAACAGATAATGTGACAGATCCTATTCAATGTACTCTAACTCAGCAGTGTAAAATGTGCGATGGGTAAAGAGTGACACCTGGTGAGCAAAGAATAAACAGCAGTGTGTGGCAAACACACATAACATGTTGTAAGCAAGGAGTTTTACATGTGGCGAGGCCTGGCTATGGGCATAGATATGTCTCATAATTATTTGTGTGAACATAAAAATAATTTGTGTGTAAATATGTGATTTGTAAATGTAAATCACCATCCACAAATGCATTTAAAAGATTTGCAAACTCACAAATACATTTGCAAGTGTAAAACGGTCTGCAAATACGTAAAAATATTTTTGGTTGTGAGCCAGCTGTGGGTGCGTTACGGCCGAGCCGCGGTAGATCTGTTCGCATCAAAAGAAAATGCTCACTGTCAGCTTTTCTTTACAATGCGCGATCAAAACGCACCATTAGGCGTGGACGCGCTCGCGCACATTTGGCCTCCGGTCCTCCTGTACGCGTTTCCACCCCTGGCGCTGATACCCCCAACTCTGGCCAGAGTGAGGGAACGGCGACACACAATGATCCTGATAGCTCCGCACTGGCCTGCAATGTACTGGCTGGCGGAGATATATCAGCTGCTGTGCGGTCNAAAAAGCAATACAAAAAAAACAATAAAAATAAAATAAAAGCGAGGTAATAGATAAAAGGTCTAGGGAAAGGCTCTATTGAATAGATGGGTTTTGAGGCCTTTTTTAAAAGCTTCCACGGTCTGTGGATATAACATTAAGGTGCAACTAAAATGCACTAGCAAAGTAAGACATGAAACATGTATTTTCTAAATATAATAAATAATAATAATAATACGTTTATTTTGGGGGGCGCCTTTCATAACACCTAAGGACACCTTACAGGGCATAGGGGCAATATAGGGAACAATTAAAACAGTGGATTTAGTGAAGTATCAGCCGGGATAAAACAAGACAAACAACAGGAAATGGACTATAGAAGGACACAAAAGGACACAGGGTACAGTTTATAAAGAAAATGCCAGTTTGAACAGGTGGGTTTGAATTTTGGGTTTTGAATTTTGTTATGCAATCAGACTGTCGGATGTGTAGTGGCAGGGAGTTCCAGAGTCTGGGAGCCGAGCAGCTGAAAGCTCGAGCACCCATGGTTTTGAGGCGAGAGCTTGGGACGGTGAGAAGTCCTACGGACAAAGAGCGGAGGGTGTGGGAGGGGGTGTACTCCTGAAGGAGGTCGGTGATGTAGATGGGGGCAAGGTTATGGAGAGCTTTGTATGTGAGTAGAAGGTTTTTGTAGTCAATACTGTAGCGTACAGGAAGCCAGTGTAGCTGAGTGAGAATGGGGGTGATGTGGTCGGATGAGTTGGTGCGGGTGATGATCCGGGCAGCAGAGTTCTGGATTATTTGCAGTCTATTGAGGAGCTTGATGGGAAGGCCAGTCAGAAGTGCATCGCAGTAATCAATCCGGGATGTGACGAATGAGTGGACCAGGATTTCAGTGCTGGGTTAGGACTGAGATGAGCGGAGTCTGGAGATGTTCCGAAGATGAAAGAAGGCTGTACGGTTGATGTTTTTATGTGTGGTGCGAATGAGAGGGAGCCGTCCAGAATGACACCGAGGCTTTTCACTTTGGCAGCGAATGGTATGGGGAAGCCGTCGATTATGATGTTTGGTGCTGGGGTGTTATGTGACTTGGTGAGGGTGGATATACAGAAACATTGTCCAAAAAATCCTATCAAAAGACAGAATAAGGCCACATGATGTATCAATACAAACATCATTGAAGATTTAACAAATGCTGAGATCATAAATACATACTTCCCCTGCACTAAACCTCCCCAACATTGAATCTGCAATGCTATAATGTAATTCTGATGATTCATAAAAACATGAACGTCATGAGCCTCTTTGTCCTCAAATAGCTTCCGCCCTGACAGTCTTAAAGAAAAATCGTGACAACACAAGAAGAAACGTTTCTGTATAATGAAAGGGAAACAGTAAAACTCATCAAAGGTGTGTCAATCGTTTTTCTAGAAAAGGTCATGTGTGTGTGTGTGTGTGTGTTTTTTGTTTTGTTTGTCCTCTAGTGACATAAACAAGTAATAATCCATTTTAAATGTACCTTTACATAACACTATATTATAATGAAATCTTCCTCAAATGTAACATGATTACTTTGGTTTGATTCTATATTTGTGTGCTGCTACCATAGGGCTGCTACCAATAACAATTAACTCAAAATGTATACTGATTATAAAACCTTATATGAATTCATGGCGTTTAACAAAAGTATCTGAAATACAGTAAAGCATGAAGTTAATTTCAAACAGAAATATTAAAACAATGTTGAAACAGTGGACAAAATGTTGCAGGAAGAATAAATGCACAACAAAGTGCAAGCATGGCTTTTGTGACATACTGTACTGCACTTACTGTGATTTGCTGATTTATGATTGAACAGATAACTATAGATTTGAGTTTATATTAAAACTGCAGGACCTCTCTGTTTGTCCATATTCTCCTGCGGCTTCTTCCTCTGGATGCCTTGGTTCACGTCTTTCGAATTCCGTCCTCATCCTCCTTGGTGACAGCTCTGTAGAATATGACTGTGGCACATCAAAGTAAGTTTAAAGTTTAAATGTTATTGATACAAATGCTGACATTTGTATCAATAACATTTAAAGCATTTTATACTTGTAGAAGTACTAAAATGCAAAGCCATGCTTGGAGATGTATTACGTTAGTGCTATCTGGTGGTGTTATGAAGAATTACATTATGGCACTCAGCAACACATGACTCTCCTGATCAGCTTCACACACTCCAAGGCCCCTAACCTTAAAATATAAAATAATGTTTTTTGCTACACTTTGACAACAAACTAAATATCTTTAATGAATAAATAATTATTGTAAATAAATAAGGTGGGGTGTCTAAAGTCAAAGATGAATCTTGATTGGGCCTAATTTGACCCCGAGTGACCCACAGCAATTCTGCCGGGTCTCCCCAGACCCGAACACCAAATTTAGAGACCTTCAGACTTGGCAAAAATTGTCAAAATCTGTTTTGTAGTGTTTATATAGCTGTTGTGGAAGATATCATGAAACCTTTGTACCGATAAAAAAAACTAGAGAGTAGTTATTATATCATTTTAACTTGAAACGGGTCACGGGAGACCCAAACACAACATAAGGGTTAAGCACACCTAAAAAAACACTAAATACTTTATATTTTATATTTATAGAAATGGTTAAAGTCAAAATTGAATAGTTCAACGCATTCACCTGGACTTATTATTAAAAAAAAGTCCAAAAAGTTATCTTCAATTCACTCTTGGTATAACCAAATATTACTTAACAAGGACAAGTAATGTAATATTTGACTTCCCTCGAGCGATAAGAGACACCATAAAGAAACATCTGCAGACTTTTCCATGTGCCACATTCCCACACACACACACACACACACACACACACACACACACACACACACACACACACACACACACACACACACACACACACACACACACACACACACACACACACACACACACACTGACCTTCACACACTTAATGATGTCACTCTCATAGTACAGGACAAAGGAATAGGAAAACAAATTCTTAGGCAGCTTGTGAGGTGACTATCCAAGTTTATATAGAAGAATATAGGTCAGACAGTGACACTTTTACTACTTCAGACCAAGACCATATACCTTAAAAAGATGTCCACAGTCCCAGAAAAGGTTGAAAATGTCAATAACATGGACTGAGCCAGTGCCAACAATGTGCTGAATCTCACTACTCATCTCCTGACTAGCTGTTGAGGGCCTCTGGCACCTCAGCATTCAGAGAGCTGACCCTGGTCAACAGGTCAATACAGTATTCATTCAGCCTTTTAAAGGGTTATTGGGTCACATGATGTTGCATTTGTGCAAATTAAGTTTTTTACAGTTAAATATGCAACCCTGATTGTTGGGGAAATATTTTCCAAGGCCCATAACTTTGACCCAGTTTATCAGTTCAAACTGTCCTGACTGAGCAGGGGCACCTGTAACCTTGGCTGCTGTGCTCTCAGTGTTCTGTCTCCCTGTTCCTGCCTGTTGGCGTCAGCTGATAGAGGTGTTATCATTCTATCTTGTTATGCAGCATGTTGATTATTCTCTCTGAACTAGCTAAATACATGGGTCTGGAGTAGAGTTCTTCAGAATTGACGTGGCAACTCTACCGTGAAGTCAGAACCTCTGACTCTTTGACTTGTTTTGTGAATTCTCCGGCCGGAGCTCCAAATAAACCCATCGGTGTTTGCCATCAAAGCTCCAGCTCTCTCCGTGTCTCCTTTGAGTCGGTGACTCCTCCTGCATTGCCACACAGAAGGTTCCCCGACACTGATATGATGAGAAGTTATTCAGGTCATATGGAGATATTGGGTCCTTCAACAGCAGAGCAAATCTGTTCTGTAGTGATGGTTATATGCTTTTTTGAATATTTTTAGATTCTTTATGACCCAATCTACTGTATCTGTATCTGAACTTCAAGACTCACTATTAACACCGCCACAGAATACAATACCAATCCTACATCCTGTATTCTCAGAACTGGGTTTTTCTGTTAATTTTCAACCATTCTACAAGTTCTCTCTACGGAAGTTCTTACCTTTGTATTAACACACATCAATATTGGGTCTATTTTTGGATTTTCCATAGCTGATAAGAAACGCTGTGGGAAAGCATTCAGCTGTAGTTGATGCACCTAGAAAAGCCTCTAATGTTTTTTTACCTAAACTAATGATTATTATTACTAACCAGATAAGAAACTCTATTTATTGTATTGTAAAAATAACTATGAAATGGAAGAAAAAGATCCTCATTGTTTTTTATGAATTGATGTGTTTCTAAACCACCACAAATGAAGGACGTGTTAATATGAATACCCCCCACACACTAACACACCCCTCTGCTCCACCCCTGCTCTGTAACGTAGAGCTCAGCTGCTCCACTACGGTATTTCCCACAATAAAATCACAGTTCCACGCGCTGTCTCTGTCATTTTGCCTCGGAGCCCCTCGTCTCCTCTCTCTCTCCCCTCTCTCCCCTCTCTCCCCTCTCTCCCCTCAGGTAGCCCGGACCGGACTGAGCACCAACACCTTCTGGTATCAGGTGTGAACCGGAGAGGACCAGAGCAGCACACGAACACATCAGCAGGTTTGACGCGGCAGCAGGGGGTGGTTTTATTCAGTCTAGGATGAGAAAAGAGACTTAAGCCCTGCTATTGTGAGAGCCTGACGGGGTACACTGAGGTCGAGCCCAGCTCGGATCAGCATGGAATTGTTGTCACTTTTTGTTTTCATATTTCAGCCGACATACTTTCATAAAGGGAACGTGTTTTCTTTTTCCCAGGAAAGATTAAGAGCTCATGGGAAATGTTGTTTTACCATCTTTCAGTAATTGAACAGTTAAAGATTTAACTAAAGTTGTTTTCCCATTATGCTGCCTAACTCTGATATATGTACATTTTGGAAATTGGTGTCTTTTTTTAACTTAACAAATACAAATACAGTTATCAACAAATACAATAATCACGAGTGCTGGGGTCAAGGCTATGACATCAATCCAAGAGACTAAATTACATCTATATCTGATACAGATATACAGAAGTTCCATTTTTATAGTGACACTAGCACGCACAAAAGTAAGACCAAAGGTTTAAACAATATTTGTTCTGATCATCATCAACACCATAGCACTCTTTCAACATATATTTGGAAAAATACTTAAAAAATATATATTGAAGGATTTATACAGTCGATGTCAACAGACACAGTATGACCAAAGTAAAGACAAATTCGTTTTTTGTTTATTAATAAGATCAGATGTTTACTCTGGCTAATTACATTTATATATTTTATTGGCAATCATTTTTGCTAATTTTCTATTCGTATTATATTAAATTAGGGGTTACATCAGTTACATGGGTTTTTCTTGTCTTTTACTTGCTGATCCTCAGAACTGATCCGTCGATGATGAGCGGCATCAGGGGAGGGCGAGTGAAAATGCAAAGGACGCTGATGCTGATGGTTCTGGTGGGGTGAGCAAACTGAAAAGAAATTCAGATTGATAATTGATCTAACATACTAAATACCATTATATTAATTCACATTAGTACGAATCCAATTTCATTTAATGTAACTTTCTTTATCCCACTGCATGTTTTATGCAGTAGAAAAACTCAGCTTTACAAAAGCAAAACAACACCTTTGAATGCCTCAGACTGATGCACAATCTTAAGAAATTATGAATACAATTCTTTTTTTTTTACTCGAGTAATTACATTTCCATCTTAAAACATATACAAATGTTTATCATCACAAACTATTATAACCGCACGTATTGAATTATATTCATTAATGGTGAGCTTGAAAGCACCCACATCATGAACACTAAGTCGCCAACCCTTGACATTCTCTGAGAACAAGAAAAAGGAAAACCTGTTTTGTATCTAGAGTCATTGGTTTGAGTCACGCTGCCATTCAGAGACCTGATTATGATGACACGCCCAACCCGGAGTTCCTCAACCCGTCCTGGATGGCCAGCATCCCGGATGACCAGCCGCTGTCTGAGGTCACCCTGCCCGGGACCCACAACACCATGGCCCTGTACGGAGGGGTGTACGCTGAGTGCCAGACCTGGAGCCTGGCCTCCCAGCTCCGAGCAGGCGTCCGCTACCTGGACATCCGCCTCCGTCACATCAACGGGAAACTCAACCTCCATCACGGGGTGTCTTACCAGCGGGGGCACTTTGGCCACGTGCTGCAGGGTGTGGCTGACTTCCTGTGGGAGTATCCCAGCGAGACAGTGCTGATGCGTGTGAAGGAGGAGTGCAGTGAGACGTACGACATCTACGGCGCTGTGGTAGACTACATCCACCGCTACGCTCACTGGGACCTGCTGTGGCACAGCCGGATCGTGCCGACCGTGGGAGAGGCCCGGGGGAGACTCATCGTCCTGCAGGACTTTCCTGGACCAGACCTGGGGGTGCGCTATGACTCCATGGACATAGCTGATGACTGGAAGGTATAGAAACATATTGTTCAAACATTTCAATGTAAGTTTTGCGATAGAAATCAACAAACACACAAGTCAAAATCAAAAACTCTAGACCCCAGAAAGAGAGAAAATAGTTGCTATATCCAGTATTCCTTTGCTATTCGGGTTTAAAGTAAACGATTACATCCTCCTTTCAACATGTATAAACTGAGGGGAATCAGTAGAGAATCAGAATCAGAATACCTTTATCCGTCCCACAGAGGGGAAATGTACATTTGTTACAGCAGAAAAGAGCCAAAGACAGCTTAATGTTAACTAAGAAGCATGCATATACAAAATAAATATATATTAAAGATAACAAATAAATAAATAATTGTAATAATAAAAAGAGAAGGCCACAACAAACACCTGTCAAAAGTAATTTATATTCATGCTTTTAAATTATTAAATTGTGCCGTTCCCTGTAGGTACCCACACTCCTGCATGTGGAGGACAAATGGCAGAGTGTGTATCACCACCTGGAGGCTGCTCCTGCAGGAAACCTGGCCCAGATCTATCTTACGTACAGCAGTGGAACTGGTGTGTTTGCGTACCCCCGCGCTGTGGCTCTGCGCGTCAACGCACAGCTGTTCGACTACCTGAGCGCCAAGACGGACCAGAAGCAGCGCCTTGGAATCATATGCATGGACTTCCCTGCTGCTCCTACTATTCAAATGATCATTGACTTCCAACTGAGAGAGGTCCAAATACCAGTATTTTACGCAGCTCATCACAAACCAAGTTTCAATTATAGAATTTCTTCACGGAGAAATAAGATGCTCCAACATTTCCTGTAACTACTAGCATGAGGCAACATATATGATATGTCTATAGTGTGGTGTTACCTCACTACTGACTGTAACCATTATAATCTAAATTGCACCTCCAATTAAAGGTATTGTCATTCACCAAAGAAACTGGAAACTAAATAAATCTCATTGATTAAATAAATCAGAAATGGCATGAAATGAACATGCAAAGTTTTGTGCCAAAATAAACGACAGTGAAAACTGATGTGCATCAATTGATGAATTGCTGTTTTTACACATTTTGTCGATTAAAATCAGCAGTCGGGTCACTTGGTATCAACATTGCCGACATATTCCATATAAAAGACAATATTTTTGACTCCATTTTTTATCTTGGCTTTATAGTTTTTGCAAGGTTTGCTTATGCCTAAAAAAAAAACTAATTTCAATCACATTTAATCATTTTTACAACCATTTTAAAGGCCCACATTTTACACATTAAATTCAGAATCAGAAACTGTTCCACTGCACAACTACTTTAAAAATAAATGACAACATTTGTGATAAAAGTGCAACGTGTATTAACAACCACACTGATGAGAGCTGATAACACAGCTTTTCCTGTCTGTGTATCTGCAAGTGCACCAATGTTCTTTTCTGCTTCATGAAATAAGCCCTTGAGTTGAACCATGTATTATGCCTCTTTATATGTATTGACTAAGGGTGGACTAAGATAGAAAGAGAGAGAGATAGGACACCATGTGATGAGGTTGTGGTTTAAAACGATGCACGCAGATCATCTGTGTCAGATGTTATCATAATTTCCTCCTAGTTAAACACAGAGAGTGTTGCGTAACAGTTGTTGAAATGCGTTGACTTGAAATAATATGTCTTAACATCCGGCTAAAACAGCAAAGGATGTTAATAGGGTAGATGCTTTGTAAGCAGTGTCCGACTCAGACTCTAGCTACACTCATTTAGTGAATAAGAAGAAAGAAAGGAAATAAGTCTTTCCAGTGTCTCCATTCAGAACTGAACAGGTACGATAAAACACTTTTGCTGCAGCTTCTCTCCCTGATTATGTCTTTTTAAAAACTGGACAAGACTTTCTTTACTGCAGAGATGAATCCGTCTCCAGATGACCAAATCAGGCCTCGAGGGGCTGTAACGATTGCATCACTTGGTGAGATATCTTTCCTCTCACATTTATGTTTGCCTTATTATTTTTATTTTACTCTTCCTTACCCTCTCACTCTTCCTTTCTTGTAGTTGTGGTGAATATGATTTGGTGGATGCTTATGATCGTAGCCATTGGTTTGGGTAGGTTTGATCAATGTAATATTTTTTGACAGCAAACCATATATTTTTTGGAGAGTATTTTTCATGATCCTGTGTTAATATGTTTCTGGACACCATCATAGGGCTTACACATCTACAACGATGTCCAGCAGAGCCGATCCTCCCCATCTACCTGATAGTGCTGGGAGCGACCACCCTCCTCTCTCTGTTTATGACCTACATCATGACCAACAGGGAGGGGGCCAGGGTCCCCATCATGTGCTCCGTCTGCATCACCCTCCTGTACCTCTTCAGTTTCGGCTGGTTCATTGCAGGTGGGAGAAAATGTCACCAAAATGTTGGTAGATAACATCTCTCCGGACATGAAAATAGGCAATGATGTAAAGTAACTGAGTAGCCTGCATTTACTCAGGTGCCGTTGAAATAAAATTACATTGTTGAGTATTGTATTTCATCCTACTCTTCTATAATGATAGGGGCTTGTTCTCACTTGTTAGTGGGTATAGTTTTGTAGAAAGAAGATATGCCTCCATTGAACTGCTCACGACAAGGATTAGCTCTAGTAACTGAGTCATGATTTCTAGAAATAGGCATTGGTTTTGGTTGGTTTATAATACTGTATTTGTTTTATGGCGCACTTTGCAATTCTATGCAACTCACATCAAAACAATCTAAATTGATAAATAGCACTTTAGGTAAGTGAAAAAATAAGTATTTGTGATCCTGATTGGTGCAAGGGAGTACCAAACTTGGAAATAACTGTTTGTTTTGGTTACCATCAGTAAAAATCGGACAAAAAAAAACTTGTTTTCAGGGCCTTCAAGTTTGGTTTCTTTGTTTAGTTCTACATCTTAATCAAATTCAAATGTTCTCCTGTAGGTTCTATCTGGATTTATCCTATCTATCCTCCCAACTACACCCCCGGAACAGCTCCATACTGCCACAGGGTTACCTACCTGTTTGCCTTCGTGATCACCACCATTGTGTGGCTCGCTACGACTCTCATGTTCGTCTTTGGATGCTGCTTCGCTGTACTGACCTGCTGTCAGTTTGTAATTTCAGGAGGCAGATTGGTACCCAGCCGCTATTCTTTCTACGGTGCGACAAGTGATTTCCAAGAACCCATTGTTGGTGATGTGTGATTGAACGATTTCTTCGCTCATGTCTTCCAATGTCTTGAGATTTTACAATAGGTTTAACAGGAGTGAAACTTTTTCAACTCTTTATTATGCTTCTGCTGCTAAAGGTTTTTTATCTTTTTTGTTTTTGTAGTTGAACAGTTTGATTGAATAAGATAATGTTATTAATCCCAATTCAATTGTTACAGCAACTTTAATAGGCACAGAAAAAAAGAGCTTAAAAAATAAATGACATAGCCTTATACATAAATACACATTACACTTTTTGCACTTGATACTGAAAGTATGGGCAGCTAGTAAAACAATACCCTTTACTTAGATTTGGCTTTCTGCATGTGTCTTTCCTCAGTGGAATAACTTTTCTTTATTGCACCACTTAAAGTGGTATTGTACAAAAGATTTGTGTAATAATCTATGAAAATAAAAGTGTAATATGTTGTGAATTAATTAATTTAGCTATATTCCTGATGATTTGAATAAATGCTGCCGTTCTATTTAAGTATCTTATCATTGTGTGTCTTGTTCTTGCTAGGGTGTAAAGTGTTTTGCACTTTAAAATTGGGAAAATGGAACTCAACTGTAACAGTGATTTCACTGACACATTGTGGAGTACACTTCTACCTCAATGCATCAAAGGAGAGAGGTTTAAATACTGAAAGCTGTAAATAGGATACTTTCAACTCGTGTTAAGTTACTCTGTATAACAAGTAAAGGCTGTTTCATTCTGTTTCATATAGCATAGCATTTATTTTTGATAGGGTCAATTAAGTGCCATGGTAGCTGAGTGTTTATAGGCAGCCCATACCAGAGGCATAGAATAGAATGATAACTGTAGAATTAAATAGAACATATAATTCTCTCTATATGGCGCTGGCACATACCATTTAACTGCAGCGTCATGGCGACAAAAAAAAGAAAAGCTGTGATATATACTGCTATGATGAACTGATATATAATTTTAGGCAAATTTGACCATACAATCCAAAAACAAAGTACTATGATAACAAATTCTTAGATACTTTTAAGGATGAATTGCCTTTTAGATGTAAACGTTTTCAGTACAAAAAAAAAGAATGTATTAAAAAGCCTGTAAAGCCTGTGAATCCAAAGGTTAGTTGTAATAAGATTGTCTCTTTAACGACTCAGTACATTCATTTTGATATTTTGTAAGGGCTTTTAAATCAGGCCTTTTTCAGGTCAACTATTTCTGCTGGCGGGGTCCTTTTACGTCACACGCACAGAACCAACTCAAATTAGCCTTTAGCAAATCAAGCTAACATGCATGCTGCGATTATCTGACCTGTGACTGGAGAATAACCTAAAAGTAAAGGTTTTTTAAACGCGGGCTTATTTGCCATTTTTCCTGCTTTATCCCGGGGGATTTTGAAGAAGGCTGTGAGTTTCTTGGTTCAGTGAACATGTGGAGCTCAGGCCGCCGTGCCCTTCAGGATTTGATGCTCCAGCAGCAGACTGCTGTCAGGAGCTTCTCCCTCAGCCCTGCTCTGGTCAGTGTCCGAGCACTTCATACACTAATATGTGGTTTGTTGAAAATAAAAATAACTAGGTCCGCACTCCACTGTTCTGCTGGAGAGCCATGACAAATCATTACAATTAGGGCTGGGCAATATCTCAAAATCAATATTGTGTTACGAGACTATATATCTAGAGGTTTTAATTTTGTATATCGTAATATCATAAGTGTTTATTTTTCCTGATTTTAAAGCTGCATTGCAGTTAAGGAGTGTAATTGTCTGAGTTTAACAGACTTTTCTAGATGTGTTATATGCCTTTACCCACTTAAAACTAATTAAATTAAATCCAATTTACTAAAAAATGATTTATCATTGTGTAAATATGTTGTGAAAGCATCAATGATAAACATTACAACATCAATATTTAGGTGTTTAATCCTTTTTAATATTTGCTGTTCACTTTTTGGTTTTATTATATTTGTATCTGTATCATATTCTATCTTTTAAATATGTTTAACTCATGTGTAATGCTTGACAACACGGTTCCTCTTTGAAAGTAATTTGGGATGAATAAAGTATTTACCGATCTCATCGCCCAACCCTTAAACCAAAAACATAAATCCAATTATAGGAGGCTACAGGACATGACAGCAGACTTATCTATTTGTTCGTGGTGTTTCCACAGAATACAGTGATCGTGGAGAGATGGTGGCAGGTGCCCTTATCAAAAGAAGGCCGTCCGCCCAGGCTTCACCCTCGAAGACACAGAATCTACAAACTGGTTGAAGACACCAAACAGGCTCCGAAGCAGAAGATGGAGCTCATCCTGGCGGCCACAGTTCCCAGTAAGTACTGCTCTCACTGACACTGGTGAAACAAATACCCTTAATACTCAAATGTCAAGTCCTGCATTACAATTGTGAAATTACAGTTACAAGTATTGGTATCAAATGATTCTTGTACCAAAAGTAAAAGTACTCGCATGCGTAATGGCCTATAATCATTTATGTTGCATTGTAGAAGGAGCCTGTGACTTAAAAACAATAAAGCCCTTTGAATCAGAATCATATTGATTGGATTATGATTATTGATGCAATAATGTATCCATCACAGCTCGTAAAGGCGTTGCTCATTTGAATGACTTTGTATACTTTTGCTGGATATCTTAACCTAGAATGATATGCCAATATCTGTATTTACTACAAAGTTAAATATTGACTTCCAAAATGTAGTGGATTAGAACTTTAAAGTAGCATAAAATGATTATACTCTTGTCAAGTACAAGCACCTCAACTAAGTACATTACTTGTGAGTAAATGGACAATCCATTACTGCTCACAGATAACAAACCTGAGATGTCAGAGTTGTCACAGGAAGTAAAACAATATATTTGCACCATTGAACTTTTTTTAATTATTAAAATACCTGTGTTTGTTCTTGCAGAGCTCGGAGTGCGAGGGGACACCGTGTTAGTGAGAAAGTCAGCTGGCAGAAATAAGCTGCTGCCCCAAGGCCTCGCAGTGTATCCTTCACCGGAGAACAAACACATGTTTGAAGAGGAGATAAAAGTGAGGACTTTGTTTTAATATTGTCCTTTTATATCTATTTCCCACATATTACTGTCCATAGCAATGTTCAGTTATTAAATATTGTCACTTTTCTTTACTAACAGCTCCTGCGTGAGGGGAAGCCAGAGGAAAGAGTTCAAACCCGCTCTGGACAGTTGGTGAGTTTTCTACAAGCTTTTCCACGATTCACCATTGTTCTGTCTTGGCTGGAGACACAAATGACCCCCACAGCTGTTTTTTTAACAAAGGCTTCCTCGTGTTTTTTTTCTTTACAGACAGTAGAGATCCTTAAAAAATCCCATTTAAACATTAGCAGAATGCCTTCGGAGGAATTCCAGGTCAATAAAGAAGTGGTCTGTAGGCAGTTCAAAAAGAAGGTACGGCCTTCTTTACCTCTTTCTTTTTTTTTTTTACATTTCCTCTTTAATATTACATAAGTGCCTCTCTTGAACAATCTAACTGTTTATTCATTGAATTCATCTTTTTCTCAGCTGGGAGTTTTTGTGCCTCCTCATGCTTTGAGTCTGTCATTTGAGTCGGTCAAGGAGGAGGGCGACTACTGGTGTGAAGTTACGGTGAGTTATGATTTTTATCATTGTATTATCAGACAGACTACACTAAAGATACATTTTTATCAGTTTGTAGAATTTCTTTTATTTCCAAATGTTTTTATGAGCTGTTTTTTTACAAGAATAATCACATAAGAAATAGCTAACATTTTCTTCAGAGAAATTCAAATTACTTTTAACTTTTGTCTTAATTTTTTTCAATCAGAAGCATATCTTCATGTAACTTTTAAGCTGGTTATTTTACCAAAGATCAGAATGCATTACATTGCATTTAGCTGACGCTTGAAGAAAACAGAATCATATAAGTACATCAGGTTTCATAGAGCTAAAACATTTCAAGTGCTACTCAACTGGCTTTAGATTAGCCAGTCCTTTGTTAGTATATAAGTGCTTTGTTAATAGTTCTATCGCTCGAAGTGGAGTCGAAAGAGATGAGTTTTCAGTCTGCTCCGGAAGATGAGCAAGCTTTCTGCTGTCCTGATTTCAATGGGGAGCTCATTCCACCATTTTGGAGCCAGGATAGCAATGCTTAGTTTTGTTTTCTTCCAGGTTAATGGAATGGACATAGTTCGTGTCCCTCTATCTGTGGTGCCATATGTGGACCCATCAGCAATCTATCAGAAGCAGCTGAAAGCGCGAATAGCGCAGGCAGCCGCAGATGCTGCTGCTGAGGACGAGGAGGCTGCCGTGAATCTAGTGGACGAAGCTGCAGTGAAGTTAGTGTCTGATGCTCCAGTGGAGGAAGCTGCTGTGAAGCTAGTTTCTGATGCTCCAGTGGAGGAAGCTGCTGTGAAGCTAGTTTCTGATGCTCCAGTGGAGGAAGCTGCTGTGAAGCTAGTTTCTGATGCTGCGGTGGAGGAAGCGGCTGTGAAGCTGGTGTCTGATGCTGCGGTGGAGGCTGAAACAGCTAAAGACTCTGTGGGTGAAGCTGCAGCAGGAGTCTCTGCTGCTGAGGAAGAAAAAGCAGCAAGTACACCGACAAGTCCAGACACAACAGCACCACCAAGTGATAGCCCGAAGAAAGATTAAAGGACTAAGATGTGCATAGAACTTTGATGGATATTGTTTACCTGTAATTCACATGTATAAAATCAGTTGTCTGTATAATTATTAAATGAATTATTCAAATAATGGTGGAACTTTTGTATATTTCATTTGAGCTGTTAACCAAAGCTGGATAGACAATAAAACACTTTTGTAATCTAAATGTAATGCCTGCTCCATTGTGTTTCGACGTGACCAAAAACCTCCATTTGCATTTGGAACTATTGACCAAGACAAGGAAAATATGTATTCATTCATTTTGAACACAGTACGCATAACAAATGTATGAGGTAAACAAAAAGTGAAACTGTTGAACATGTAGGTCCCTGAATTATTGACATAGGACATTTATAATGCATAACACAGTTGTATGCTTTGTCAATCTTTAAATGAAACCTGCAGAGGTCAATGTTAGTTTTGTGACCTCATTGAGATGGACATGTAATCAATCAATGAATAAATTGAGTACATTTGTATTTCTAACAAAACACCCTAGTAATGTCCAAAAGATCTGGAAGATGTGTGATATATAAAGACTCAGCGGCTCAGCTCTGACACAAGCTCTGCATGCGGTTTGAACCATAACAAGGTATGAAAGAAATCAATACTTGTAGACTGCTGATATGTTTTAGATTCAGTTTTGAAGCAGACCAGGGGCCTGTACTACGAAGCTGGTTCTACCTAACCTGGATATGTTTGAGTTAGCCGGTTGGCCTAATCCAAAACATACGCGCTCTCGCTAAATTGTACTACGACGCGGGTTATCAAGTGGATCGCTCAAGCCAGCCGTGCCCTATCTAGTTAGGTGCGCGTTCACATGAAAGGGGTGGTATTTGGAGCATTCGACCAATCACAAACATGGAGAAGAGTACTGACAGCGTAGCGTCATACTTCCTGAATGAAAAGTCAACTATAATATTAGACATATGAAGAAGTTAAACTTTAAACATCCATGACTTAAACACTTTATCCAGGATAAAAGCCACATATGCTGCACCTGCAAGGTGAATACAGCTGGTACAAGAAAAAGTGTTTGAATGCGTACATTAACAGGTTTATGATATGCCCCGTCTAAGACACGATCTGACTTTAATTACATTTGACTCGGGTGTTTCGTAATGTGTTGCTTAAAATAATACTTCTGCATACAGTATGTGACACTGTGAGTGTTGCACGGCCAGATACGGCTCAGCTGACTCAGGTAAGGAAATATATGATACATTATGATGACTGTACTTAATGTTACTCTGATCCGGTTACTTATGTTGTGGCAGATATTTAAGTAAGCTTTCTTAACGCTAATGTTATAATAGTCAGATTGCGCTGAAGATGGGAGGTGATATTCTATTCAATTTCACGTTCACACAGTCTGTGATTTTTGCCGGCCGTCTTTCCTGCAACGGCAGTTTAAACCAGGGCCGTGGGAAGTAGGGGTGCTGAGGGTGCTGCAGCACCCCCTGGTGGAGGACAGGGGATCTGCACTTCCACAAGATTAAATGCAAATATAATACAAAAAAAAACGAATTTTCATCCTTGATGTAACAACATTCATTTAAGTAAAGATAACACCCTTTTCACCCCGGTTACATTTTCCATTTGCCCTGTACGATGGGCGCTGTAAGTGATGAAAGTGGGGAATTTTGGCTTATCGGGCACCCGCAGCTCACAGCCAAAGTGAGAGAGAGAGATAGATAGATAGATAGATAGAGAGGGGGGGTGCACCGGTACCGGCGGGGATTGTTGTTAGCTTCTGCTGCGCTAACGGATATAAGAAGCTGTTTCTACAATAATGTGGAGAGAGAGTTCTGTCCTGTCAGACTGAGAGGCTCAGTGAGGTAAAGGACTCTGAGGGTTTAGATAGTGCACTTTAGTCTAAGTTATCTCAGTGGGTCTCAAACGTTTTGATCACAATTTATGTAAGCAAATACTTCAAAAGGGACACCTTTATAATTATTAGGATAAATAAAAACAGGTTTGAAATCATTCCAATGTATACTATAGGACAGTAAACCAAAAATATTGTTTAAAACTGGAGAGATTTTAAAATATACATAAATNAACACCCAAGGACACCTTACAGGGCATAGGGGCAATATAGGGAACAATTAATTTCCTGTTGCTTGTCTTGTCTTACCCCGGCTGATACTTCCCACTGTTTTAATTGTTCCCTATATTGCCCCTATGCCCTGTAAGGTGTCCTTGGGTGTTATGAAAGGCACCCCCCAAAATAAATGTATTATTGTTATTATTATTAATATAAAGGTTGGTACATTTGTTGGGTATATACTAAAATGTTACTGGCCCATTGCATCATTATCAACTACTCTGGGCTACCATCGCCTTGGAAAGAAAAAAATAAGAGAAACTCAAATACACCAACACGTTGGATAGTTCCATTGCTTGCCTCTCTAATGAGACTCAGTGAGTTGTAAAAAGAAACCTGCAGCAGCTCCTCTTAAGCACCCTGGACAGCGCCCATCAACAGAGAGACACACGTCCCTTTACACACTTAATAACTATCTTTCCTCCCATTGCATCAGTCAAATTGCCTCTACATCGCAAAATATAATAATAATATTATTATATTTTCAGCATTTTTGCACCTGTATCCACGGTGTGTTCATATATTATATGACCGTGGATACAGGTGCAAAAATGCTGATTTAAAAACTGAAATATTTACGCGCAGGTGTTGAAAATACAAAGCTATGGGACATGAAGATATGCAATCAAACTCTAAGAAAGACGAACGAATGAACTCAGTTTGGTCAAATGAGAATAAAATACATATAAAACACACATTCAGGCTACTTTTCTCATCCCTTTGTTTCTTTGCAACAATGTATAAAACATCATAGGAAGGTTACTGACATACATTATTACGTGAATTTATGTTGACATTAAAAGTTCATTTTTGACCCTTGAAAAGTTAGAAGGTGTTCTGGAGCTTTTGGTTGTTTCATGCTCAAGAGATGCCCAGTTAGGATGCCTGTAGATGCTCACATTTCCAAATGTCCTAATCACTTGATAAATAATGCTCCTTGTGTTGACATTGTTTTTTTCTTTTGCTGCATGTGGAAATCAAAGGCAGCGTTCCACCTTTTACATGTATCAAATCAAATCAAATCAAAGTGTATTTATAAAGCACATTTAAAAGCGATTTTTGGTCGGGTCAAAGTGCTGTACATGTAATAAATACTACAATCACTTAAAAACACATTACTAGATTCATAATAAAAGGCAATAAATTAGAACAGATATATAGAAAACACAGGGAAAAGTCAGGAGCCCGTAGCCTAATAAAAGTATCTTACTGTCCAAATCATATGTGGGACTGAGTTAATCAACATGTATGATGATGCCATTTTGCCTTTCCTATTATCACCAGCAATCAGTCAACTAAGATGATGCTAACTGGTGCATAATGGCACAACATGCAGATTTCATGATACTACTATATATTGCAAGCAAAGGACAGATACCTGCTTTACTCAACACATAAATAAAGCAGTTTGTCAACATTGATATACAGATATTAGTAGATACAGGTTTGAAAGTGTTATATAAGAGTTTAAGTATATTGTTTACGTATATACTGTACTTCAGCTGGAATGTATCGATTCTACTTTTTCGGTCACTCAATTCAATCAGAGTCAACAACATATCCTATGTCCGATTAGATTAAAAGCCTGCAGCACTAATGCGAATTGTGGCCCTAAATTAAAGCTAAGAAGTCACCTGCACTACAAATGTATCAGCTGAGCCTCTCGACACCAGATGGCTGCAGACTAGAAGGAGGACTTGGGCAGAGAGTCAAAGACGCTCCCATATGGTCACTGTTACAGCCTTAAAAAACACTCCAATTACATGTGTATAAGGATATGCTGTAAATTGATATTTAATACGTTCATAGTTTACCTTTCAATAATTGTCAAGCGTTTAAATCGCGTCGGTAAATAGTTGCCATGGGTTGACACTGGCAGGCAATATGTATGCACATCAATTAGGTGACGTAAGTAATGTTTGCAGTGTGCCTCTGTGGGAGTAAGCACTACAGAAAAGCATATCAACTGCTTAGGTGCAATCCAAACAGTACAAGGGGTGTGTGTGTGTGTAATATCAACAGTCAAACACAAATGCAAACCTCTGTAAAGGTGTTTGTCTATGCTGCGAGTATGGGGCCCCTCATGTGCAGCATTAGCATCACTGCAGCTTATGTTCTGCATTATATTTTTTCGCTTTTGTTTTGATCTATATTGGGTTTAATTCTGTACTTGTGCAGTGATCAAATTCCACAACAGCAGATCATTTAAGGCGGTGCTGGTGAGAAATGAGGAGAAACATTTAGTATGTCAGTGGCGCCATCTTGTGGAAGAAATACGTAATTATCTATCTATCTACGTATCTATCCATCCATACATTTATTTTATCTCTCGATCATACCAGGACAAATGGTTATTTTTCAAAAGGAAATCCTCAAGATGGATAGCCAATGAATGATTTAAACATTACTTTGTTGTATCACCAACATCTAGTTTGATACCACCATAGGCAACAACGCTACTTTTATGGGCTGAAAAGCTCATAACATAATTATTGAGGATTTAGAAATTCTAAGTTTTTGTGGTATTTAATGTGAGAAGCTATACACATTTGTTTTTAAATGTTAGTGTTAAATGCTCTGCAACATGCTTGTTTTGTCAGTCACGCGCTACAATGCTTTGCCTCCACCTAGTGGTAGGAAATGATGCAGCAGTAGTGATGCATTTGTGTGTAAGAGGGTTGAAACAACCAAGCAGCTCATGTGATTACAGTGAGTTGACAATCAGATGAGTCCAGCTCCTCAGATAAGGATAAGGGCGTATCATCTGACATATTTTAGGAGCACCCTAAGCACCAGACGTTTGTTTTGTGTGAGCAGCTCTCATTGGCTAACAGAGGAGGTATAGTGATACATCAGGGCTGACAGGGACCTGAGTGCAGCTCTCTGCTCAGTTTCCCTGCTCTGATAGAGTGTCTGGTCCCACGGCTCAGTGGTCTGTGTGGCCCGAGCCGAGCCTCCATTTGTCTTTCCTCCTGAGGCGATAAATCTCACCTGTACATACAGACAGATGGAGGCTTCGAGTGAAATATGAGAATTGTTGCCATTAACTTTATTACACCGACTACTGTTCTCTTCTTCTGTCATCAGCTCTGACTGAAGGTTGGAACAGGAGGAGTTTACTGACTCGCTCCTTGTTTCAACAGAGCAAAGGGGGATGTGTTTAAC